CCACCGCCAACGCCGCCCCATACTGCTGCTGCCCAGTATGGGTTATTGGAGAACCTTGCGCCTGACATGGGACACACAACCACTAGCCTGAGCTTATGAGTCTCATGCTCTACCAACTGAGCTAGTCGGGGCAACAGTAATGCACTGTATATTGTACTTATCCCTCTGGTCTTTGCGGAATCCTGGGTAATTTTTTTTAATTTTGTGATTTTGTGATTCTATCTAGGTTGTATTTTGTTTGCTTCTGTTGTCTTTTGTGTGCTTGTGTTACAGAGTAATGGAAACTGTACTTGTCAGTACGTGTCCTCTCACGTTATCACTGTCTTCTTGGCACGGGTAATTTATATACTGGGCAGACAACAGAAGTGTCATGTGTTCGGCTGTCACAGGATCCTCAGAGAACTGTTTCTCCAGCTTCCTCAATCACAGAAAACCAATTAACGTCCAGCCATACTCATAACATGAACACGTTTTTCTTCTTTTAACACACGACTGATGCACTGAAGATGTGAGCCCATTCTTGACATAGTTTTGTGTTATATTTGAACTTGGGCGGTGGGGCTTCTTCACAGGTCAAATGTGTTGTACTATTCCTCCAAGGAATAATAAGTAGATTTGGACTGCAGGCAGTCCACTCTTGGGAAGGCCTATTTTTCTGATATGAGAGATGGCTCATTGCAATGTAAGAAGGGAGAAAACGCCTTGGAATTGTTTGCCTTCTGAGTAATTGAACCTTTGATTAAAACGATCAGTGTCTTTGCTCCTCAATGGGGGAAAAAATGTTGGAGATCATACCATTGTGAGGCAATCTGAAATAATCTATGATTATTTGCACGTAGCCTCAACAGTAGACATATTTTGTTAAACAGAGATATCCCATTAGAAAATATATTGTATTTATATTTGTATTTTCAGTCTTCACTGAAGATGAACATCAACCATATGTTTTTTTATTATTTTTGCAGCAATTTAGAGTTTTCTTCACCTCTAAGTGAATGTCTGGTGTTAAAACGTTGCTATTTAGCAATGACTGAGGGCTTAAGAGAAGTTTCTAAATGAAGATTATTTACAGATGATAAAATCAGTTAGGGCCATTGGTATAGAGCCTTATCTTTCCATAGACACACCACTTGTTTGCTGTGAGTCTGCAGGCATTCTTAAGACACATTTCAAGCCCCCCATAGTTAGGATGTTGACAGCCGAGTTCAACACAACTCTGAAGAGCCACCACTGTGCTCAGTGCTCCTACAGAGTGTCTGTTAGTGTGCATGGACAGGAAGTCTGGATCTCCCCATCCAGAAGAAATCTAGGGGGCCCCCAGAGATACCATGTTTTCAGTATTTTACAAGCAGGACTCGGCTCCATCTCAGTGATGCTCACTTTCTCTAAAGTGTCACTGATCATACAGGATGGAGTTGCCTATTTAAACTTCCTTTTTTGTCACAGTTCATGATCTTCAAATAGTTTGTATGAAAAGTTTTTTTTTTTCCATTGAGGTGAATGTGATGCAAATAGTTGATCACAGGACTGGCTAAATAGCTTAAGCAAAATGCGAAATTCTCTTTGACTGATTCTACATTAAACTAGAAAACCACAAGGGGACCTGATGCAAGTATTCAAGATCCTGAAAGGTATTGACAAACCTTACCCGGTGGACTTTTTGAGCATGAACAGTAAAGCACACAGCAGAGGACACAAACGGACACTACATGAACATGCATTAAAAACCAAGAACAGGAGGCACGTCTTTACCCAGAGAGTTGTGGGAGTATGGATCAAGCAACCCAGTTATGTGTTTGAATCTGATTCTTTGGCCTTCTCCAAAAATGGCTGGATGAAGTACTTGGATCAATAAGCTCCTATGAACCAAACAGCCCAGACGGGTTCAGTGTTTTGTTTGTAATCTCTCTAATGTTATTAAGGAAAACTAAAGTATTTGATATTTTGGAGCTTTCTTCCATTTGTTTCATGCATTTTGCTGGTTCATTCATCAACATATTTTTTTTAAACCGACTTTTGTTTGTTTACACTCCTGATGAGAGTAGGACAGCTTCACATGCTCCCACAGTGAAACCTCACTACGGTGCACTTCTCTCTAGGAAATCTAGAGTCTCACATTATCCCCCCACACGTACACATAGATGTGTTCCCTGGCCTCTCTCACGTGAGCAAGTGTTTGGAAAGTGATGACAGACCGCAGGCTGACCTTTCTGAGAATCTCGGGTGGTCAGGAGGGACAGGAGTTGGCATCAGGAGACGCGCTCTCTGGCCGTGCTGCACAGAGGAGGCTGTCACGAGTCGTGTCTGAAGAAAGAGCTGGAGAGTGCCCAGCCAGGCCCCAGTTTGTGGCTGAGATTAGATTAAGCACCTGGTGTTCAACAGCTGCAGGGGTGATGATTTGTTCAAGGCCAGGGGCTGTAATATCTTCCTTCATTTCATCTCAGTGTATCGCCAAGCAGCACGCTGGAAGACATTCCAATAGGACATTCCAGGAGTCTCTCTGCTTGCGACACCATACTGTCCATTGCCAAGCTTTTGGAAAGGAGAGATGAAATGCCTTTGAAGGCCAATTAGGTATTTTGTTTTCTTTGTTATTTGATTTGCAACTGGTTGGTATTTTAAAATAGCCCATTTAATTTGTTCAAGACTACATACTACAAGCTCACAAACTTCCAAGTTCAGAACTGAACATCTGAACTTGGTATGTTAACAAAAGTCATCATATTCTTGGTGTTAAGCTACTTTTTGGATTTTGAAGTACAGTAGACTGTACCACTTTTTATCTCCTTTGTGATTTGATAACAGCTTGAGACTTTTAAGACTCTAAAACTCCGGAGGTCTAGTAAGTGAGTTAGTTATCTCTTGGTAACCTGAGGAAGAAATTACTTTTATCACCAATGAACAGCTGCCCATTATAAGGATCCTTTTTCATGTATTCGTAACTAATGCGCTGGAGATTAGAGTTACTTCTGTGGGCTGTTAATTAATACCTTCTGAACCAGCAAAATTCAAATTAACACAAGATCAGCATGAAGTATTAAGTGGTGTGAATTTTGACATGTAGGGTTGCTGTCCTAACTCTCTGATTGCAAATTATTTTGTTCCATTTTGATGACAAATGCTCTACAAAAGATGCATTGATTTAGTAATTGCAGTTCATTTTCTTTCACTAGGTTTCATTGTGTCATTGCATTCTGTTTTGCTCAATTCCATACAGAAGTACCTTTCTGTGTGGGGTTTGCTTATTTTCCTCATGTTTATATGAGAAGTACTGGACTTAAGGAATGGCGGGGCTCTTATTAATCTGCTTTATGAATAGCTGGGATAAGGTTCAGATAAAGAAGAACGTATTTGATATCCTGCTAATTAACTTCCAGTTTTTACCCATCCTCATCACTGCAGCCCACACTGATGCAAAACAGTCCAAGATCACATTTGGATTTTTGGATTCTTGGACAATTGGATTCTGGAATGCGGCTCAGAGAGTGTGCTGCCAATTGGAGGATGACAATACCTCCAGAATACCACAGTGAAGCCACTGTGACAGGGCACAATATTGCTTAGAAAGTAATTCACCAGATGGGCCGATTTCCCAGATGACAGCTGATCTCTGCAGTTCTCTGATATTTTTTCCTGCCACAGTTGGCAGATGGCACCATTTGGGTTTCAATCTGTGACATCCAAACCATGGGGCTCATAGTGGTGCTTTTGACAAAGGAAGCACTATGATGCATTTTCCCTATACATTCCCCCTATACACCCTATTCAACCTATTCATTTTCCCTATACATCCACCCTGTACAGCATTTCTCTTCCCTATACAGCGTCTCATTTAATAATTGTTATCTAGGATTTTGGTCTTTCAATGCAGTAGTTTTGTTCTTGTTTTATTTTGAAAAAGAAAATATCTTGATTTTATAAAGCAGTGGTTAGCCCAAGTAGGTTTATTTTGGAAAGGAATGATTGAAATTAGGGGTGGCACAGTGGGACGGTGGTTGACATTACTTCCTCTTAGTGCTGGGGCCCTGGATTCAATTCTGGGCCTGGGATGCTGCCTACAAGGAACTCGTGTTCCCTCCCACAATCCAAAGACATACTGGTAGGCTCAGTTGTTTCTGGGAAAGTTGCCGCTGGAGTGAGAGTGAAGGTGTCTGCGTCTGTGTGTGCCCTGCGGCCGACTGGTGTCCCGTCTGGGGTGTGACCTGTCTAGTGCTGTTGCTGTTGCCTGCCCTGCGACGCCAAATTGGATGAACCTGGATAGACGGATTATTGGATTGAAGTGTTGATTAGGTTTAAACTGATTTGTTAAAAAAAAGAGTGTTAGCTATGTGTTGGCGAATGGCAGCAAGTCACTCCTGACTGATAGGTTGGTGACCTCGGCCTCAAGAATGATTTTTGGTAACCTCTTGAGCTCAGCTCGCATTCAAAATAAAAAAGCCTCTTTCTTTTGTTCTTTGTTATTCACTCCACAGCAACCCTAACGTCTGTCACAGCAAACAGAGTGCCTTAGAAGTATAATCATGTTTCCCACTACACTCAATTCACCGTATATGAATTTAAAAAGTGATAATCGTTATGAAATTATTGTTACTGCGACACTGTGGCCCCCTGTTTTGATAACGGATCCCCTGTTAATGAGCAACACACGGTCAGTCACAGGTTTATGAAAAAAACCTAGAAGATGCTTATCAGGCAGAAGAGAAAACTAGTGGAGCCCTCTGAGCTCTGCTGTTGAAGTGCACTGCTCTGTTTACATGCGTCCTCACATTCTGCCCAGTCACCTCTCCTCGCCAACCCTGGTTGCTGGTATGGCGAGATAGAAAGCCGGAGAGTAATTTAATCTGAAACAAGTGTGGGGAAATATCCAGTAGTGGTGTCTCTTGGAGATGGTGTGACGCACATATGAGGTTAGAGAAGAAGGTGTGAAGAGTCTCCTTAAAGTGGAAGGCCGTGCCCTGTGTTTCTTTCTTTCATTGGTCTGTTTCTCCGTATGTCTCCAGCTGGGAAGTAATTGACCCCAAGCAGGAGAGCAGGCCTGAGGCAGGCCAGCTCACCGAGTGCTGGATGAGCTACAGCTTGTTCCTGCAAGAAATGTCATCCTTCAAACAGCAGAATCCTGGCAAGGTAAGACCGCTCAACTCCCTGTCTGTTTCCTGTAAGTGTGAAATGACAGAGTGTGTAGGAAAAAAAAAATGGCTGTGCTCAGTGCTGGCTAACTCATGTAACAATTGTACTTAAATTCCTCGAACAAAGAGGAATTTAACGTTCACTAGTATTAAAGTGTTAAAGGCCTTAATTCTGACAAATTGACTCATACAAGCTTCACTGAAATAGTTACTGAAGTAGTTTTAGAACGTAAGTATCGATGAAAGCTATCTTGAATGACAGACAACAGTATAGACCAAGAACCAGCTTTGAATTGCCTTTGTAATATGTACTGTGATGTACAGGAAGGTGTATAATATAATACACAGTGCTTATTCAGGGCCTAAACTTTAACACTAACTCTGTGAGAATACTGCTTGTTACTGTAATTAAATGGTAGTTAAGTTCATAGTGTTACTCAAAGATGGTTTTAACTTTAATTGAACACTTAAGGGTACAGTAGCTGTGTCAGGCCTGTCAACTTAGTTGCAGAGGGCTGTTGGAAATTGTGCTTTTTTTCCTCCAGAAATAATTTTATGGCTATTTTTAGCTTTGGACATAACCTGTGAGGACAAATAAGTGATATCGATTTCAGTCTTGTGTATCTCACCCTGTTAATAAATAAATGGCAGTCTTCAGTCAGAATGCAATTATGATTTGCTTTTCTAGAGTTTGTACTGTGATTGCTCTTCTCTTGTACTGTGATTGCATAAAGCAGCATTTCAAGGGACACGTTGCACTAAAAAGCAAATACAATATAATATGGCAGACATTGTTTACAACAGCCCTTTTCTGTTTCAGTTTTGCCTTCTCATCTGTGGCTTGTGCACATTTCTGGCTGTCCTTGGACGTTACATTCCAGGAGTTGTCATCTCCTATTTTATAGGTTAGTACATTTGCTTCTTTTCAGCCCAAGACAAGCCCATATGTTGAGTACAAATTGTGCCAAAAAATGAGCCATGGAATCAATCAACAATTTTGTTTTTGTCCCTTTGCTGTGTTGTGGGACTGTTTTAATGGACCGGAGTTCCTTAATCTTTTCTCCTCTTCAAGTGTCAAGCAAAGAGCACATTGCTATAAAGGTAGAAATTCCAGTTAAGGGGAGCTGCAGGGAGTCTTGGATCTGAGTCTGTAAAAAAGCAGGAGGACTGAGGGGAGAATTAATTTCTCAGCGAGCTTGCTTCCTGCTCGGGTGACGTCAGAGCAAAGTTAAACTGAAGAGATCCACTTGCATATTTAAGGTCATGAACATTCCCTGCAGGCTTTGAGGAGAGGTGGGAATGAATTGATAAAATAGTGGCACAATTTAAAACCTTTATAGTTACATAAACTAGTTATTTAAAATAGTTTCAGGTCTTTTATGGATCCCTAATTTAAGATAAAACAGGGCGTGACGGTTTATTTTTTACTCTGATCGACTGTTAGTTGGAAACTAACAGATAAAAAATATTTAGATCGGTTAAATATTTTACAGACAAAAAGGTGTATGATTTGTAATAACTCAAAATGTGACAGGACTGGAAATGCTTCCTTACTTCCATCCAGAGCAGTATATTTATCATTGTAAATTTGGACTCGTGACACCATTACTGAATAGTTAATCTGGGGAGTATAAGTAGTTAACTCTGGGCTATTGGATCTTTTTCTGAGTCATCCACAGAATAAGCCTTCCGAGAGCTCAGGTAATCGTATTGCTAAAAACATCTCGCATACCATTGTTTTTGTCGAATGAGTTGGAAGACGGCAGAAGGCCAGACCTCACAAATCAAGATTAATGGTGAACAGCTTTGCCAGGTGAACATACTGGCTCTTGGGCATTCATTTTCTATTCCTGATACTGCCCAAATGCAGCTGTTGCAGGAGATTACCTGACTATAAATGGAAACGGACGCAGTATTACATGGTATGGCCTTCATGATTTAAAACTGTTGTTTTTAAAAGACTGGCAGAACATTAAGTTCATTCCAAACCCACCGTTTTTTGTACTTCCTGTCCCTTCTCGTTGGCCCCTGAATTGGGCAGATTTGGACATTTCTGTGTGAATTCAGTGTCTCTTGCTCAGTTGATTTTATTTTCGGTCTCCTACCCAGTGTTGTGCGTGTTCCTATGGCCTCTCCTGTCGTCTCATGAGTTTGGCCAGTGGATTGAACCAGTTCTGCAGAAGCTGGATTTTGGAGTTGGAGGTTTCCTTCAGAAGATGAAAGAGAACCATGGTGAGGATTTGCTTTGCTGTGTTATTCCTGTTTCCCAGAGGTCTGATTTCTGCGACTCTATCTGTGTACTGATTATTTTTTATGGAAAACAAATGGAAAACACTATAGTTTCCCAGACCTATAAAGATCTTTTAGATTAAATTTCTGAGAAATGTTACATAACATTATTCACCTTCCAGCTACCACAATAATGGTAAAATTCCGCGTTGCAGAGAACTTTTGCCTTTCACATTTCACCAAATTACCAGAGCTGCAGTTTACCTAAACAGCTGCAGCTCGGGAGAAGATATTTTATTTTTAAGACAAAACGAATCCAAAGTATTTGGGATATCATAGGCCAGTAATTTCAAAAGGCTCAAGGCTTAATTAGTCATTGGGCTTTTCTTTCTTCTCAAGTTCTTAAAAGTTTAGGCATTAACAAGAATTAGATCATCTGCGGGACTCACCCAAAGAAGGCTCCACAGCCGAAACGTTGTGTTTTCTTTCTTTTTTTTTAGCATGGAATAAACCTATTACTTGTTCCTTTGCAGCCTACGCATGCTGACGCAGCTCCCCACCTGATTTATAATAATCAGTTGTATACAAGACAATGGCACGAGCCAACTTCTCGGTACTCAACACAAAGGACAGTGACTGGAAGTGGGCTATGTCATGTAAATGCAAAGGCTTAAAAAAATCAGAATTCCTATCCAAAGTACTAAATGTACTCTCATATTCATCTATAATCATAATTAAAATGATACTTTTAGGAGGCTAAAGTGAATTTTTGCTGCATACAGAATTAGATTTTAGTCATACAATGCAGAAGTCTGGAAACAAACATCTACAGTTTTAGTTGTCAGACATACTGTAGCAGCAGCTGGTCTATCTATTCCTATTAGATAAATAAGGCAATTTAGAGCAGCCATTGAACTTTTCAACAAGTCTTTATAAGATGGAAGGAAGCCCCAGTTTGGGGAGAACTGCGGAGAACACAGGGAGAATATGAAAACTCAATACAGACAGGCAGCCCACCCCAAAATCAAACCACTCTACCGCCGGGAGGTAAGGACTCTTAACTGCTGAGCCAACTTGCCACCCAGGATATCCAGAAATACACCCAAAGCAAAGACATAGAGATTACATAAGAAAGAACTGTATCTAAAATAGAACTGCAATAAATGTTAACATACAACGTTCTCTAATGAGATCTCCAACCCCTGGGCTGTACGGCAGAAACTGCGTACTGGCAGGCTGTGACTGTACCTGGATGTTGTGAGAATGCACGACAACGTAACTTGGTGTGTCATTTGTATTTCAGAAAAAAGAAATGCCAAGCGCGGAGAAGAAAACAGTGAAGCCGAGTTATCCGCGCTATTCCCAAAGGTTTGTTCTGTTGTTTTTGCTTTAGAGTTGTTTACCTGTATACATAGCCCATAGGTAGAATTTCATTATTTTTTTTTCCTTTTTTCACCCTCCTGATTAATGTGTTAATTTAGTTTGATAGACTTATCCAAACGCCTGTATAAAAAGGACATGGTTACGCCAGGAGGGTACTTTGTTTTTTGTTGCAGTTTGTTTGTGTTGATGCTGTTGGATATATAAGATGTGTGGCCCACTGGGTTCAGCTTTCATTTGACTTTGTGTATTCTGTGAGCTGGTGTTTTGTAGGCTCTTAGACATGTAAACCACTTTTATAGAAGTATTGGAAATGCGGAGATGGAAATGGCCAAGGCATACAAAGTAATATCGTAGAAGAGCTGTCAATGTATCCAGTAGTGGCATATTAGATGACAAGAGTGAATCAGATCATAGATTTAATTCTTCATGGTTTCACCTGTGAGTCTTTTTAACTATCTGGTAACAATATTGAATACCAAGTACCTAGTATGCACTTTTAGCTAATGTATTTTTAAATAATCTTTAAATAGAAAACCTTGAATTCTAATGTTGGCACTATTTCCTTCATTTATAATGCTGTTATCTGCAGTTGTTCGCCAAGTGGAAATACCTGAATGAAAAAGAAGGACTGTCGTTTTTTTGTGGGGGGTTTACCTGATCTGTTCTTTTACCAATTACAATTAGATTATATGAGACAGTGTTACATCGAATTGACTGTGTTGTTACGGTGTTCTGCATACCCAACAGAAGAGCAACTTTTGTTTTGCTTCTGGTTTTTGCCGGAACTCATTTTCCTTTCCTCTTAGCTGGATTCTTCAACCATGTGCAAAGAGCTCTCCATATCCGATACGGAGGCCTCCGAGGTGTCCTGGACCGACAACGGAACGTTCAACCTCTCGGAGGGGCACACTCCACAAACCGAGACCTCGGATGGTAGGCTACGTCTCACACACACCTTTTTGCTCACCCTTTGCCACACTGAATCAGAGGTGTGTTCTTTACGTGCTTCTCTGAAAGCCCGTTCTAAATTTACATGCTTCTCTGAAAGCCCGTTCTAAATCAGTGAGGTATTGAAAATGGAAGAAAGATGAGCTCATATTCAAATTTCAAATAATTCAAATTTAATGACAATCATTATTTTAAAGAGTGGATTTTCACTCTGAAATCACTTGATGGTAAGTGCATGAAAGCTTGCATAGCCAAGGGCTATCCAGTTAGCCTTCAGTTCGTAGGCAAGGTGCCTTCAAATGATTCCAGTTGCTCATGGTGCATCTTGACTGCAGACTTGGACCGTCCCAGTGACCATGAAGAGGCATTCGCTGGCGGGCTCTCTGAATTCCCGTCCGTAGACAACGGCACCAATGGAGACGACGAGGATCTGAGCATTGGCCTTCCCACGCCCTCGTTTGGCCAGACCGAGGGAGACAGGCCTTCCGCCGGCGAGCGAGCGCTCGACCTGGTCAACAGAATGGCGGGGGACGTCATCGCCGCGGCGGTCACGGCAGCCGTTCGGGAGCAGCTGGGCGCCCCGTCCTGGAGCGCTGCCCCTCCGGCGCTGGACTTCGGTGGGGAGACGGACAGCGAGGACGGCGAGGACTTTGAGCTGCTGGACCAGTCGGAGCTGGAGCAGCTGCAGAGCGAGCTGGGGCTGGCGCAGGAAGCCCAGGAGGCCGAGCAGAAGAGTAGCAAACCCTCGGGCTTCCTCTCTAACTTGCTGGGGCGGCATTAACATCACCCGCCCTGCGAGGGGCGCTAGGAGAAGAACTGCCAGGGTAACTGTGAGAGGTACCTGAGCGAGACGTCTTGTATTCCTTTCCTACGGGGCTAAACTAGGTTAAACTAAACTGTCCTGCTAGTAATCGATGTTTAGAAATGGGGAACATGGAAAATCTTTTTAATCAACTGGGGGAGGGGGAATGAAATGCGTGTCTGTCGGTTTCTCAGAGAACACACTTTTTACATCCGTTTTCATTCACCCAACGTATTACATCTGTCAGCTTATGCCTTTCAGTAGCACGCACTGAAACATTGTCAGGGCTTTTACTCTCGAAGAGTGTTTTTGAGTACTTCCTGTATGCTGCCAAACGTGAGTTCAGGGACAACAAATCAAGGTGTCACCTCTCTGACAGTGGTCTGTTTTTAAATTCCTTGCACGCTTCTTGAGATCAACGGCCACAACTTATGAGGAAATGGAGCCTTTTATTTTATAAGTTGACAATCAAATACAAGCTACACTTGAGCGCGCACTCTGCATCTAGAAATTTCTACTGATTCCCTTGTGAACATAGATTACAGTTAAGAACCGAACAATGGAAAAAGAAAAAAAACAGTAATTCAAAAGATGACTTTTGTAGCCTTTTGTGTATCTCAGGCTTTTGCATCTTCTCCCAAACATGCAGGGAGACATTTAATCAATTCTGCTTTTTGCTGTATCATAAATATACAAATTCTAAAACCTTTGCGATTTAGGCCCGCCCATCGCCTTTCACAGAGGAACATCAGCCTATCCAAAAGAGACTTTCTCCTTTTTCTTCATTCGTTTGTTCATTAGCAGTTGATAGTAATCAACCAAAAAAGTCACTTTCTTATGCACCGTACAACAGCAATGATAAAAACATTTTAGCCTTCTTTAACATGTATGTATTTTGTCTTCAGTGGTTGTCAACATCCTGTTTTTAATACTGGTTTACAACCACGAGCATTTGATTGGAAAATCTCTGGACTGTACAGGACAATCACCAACACCATGAAAAACAAATGCAATGCAGGACAAATACAGCAAGTGAACATTCTCTCAGTTGTCTAGAATGTTTTGAATATTAAACGGAATTCAGTAATCAATACAGTTCAATAATATTTGCAAACTAAGTGATTGAGGGTGGTGCAAATCATATAGTAGGGAACAAATGCTTAACTATTGAAAATCACTTACTGTACATTTGACCACATCTCTCTTGTCACCATCTAAGGTAATACAAATTGTGTGACCAGGGAACAACATTCAGTACATTTCTTTGATCTGTATGGATTTTTCTCTTGCACGCAGCTAGGTGAGACTGATGTGTTAAAAATGTCAGCATTATCAGACATAGCCATGGAATACTTATTATATTAATACAGTATGGGCCTTCAATCTGTGGAGCTTACTTACCAATATGTTTAAGGAAAATTTCAAATCCATAGCAACCTGCATACCAACATACACAATTCATTCTTATTGTTGCTGTTATTAATACATTCTTTATTTGCCAATCAGGGAGTCTTATCTGGGTTAACTTACAATCGTTTACTAGTCTAAGGCAGAAGATATGCAGGAGCATTGATCTCTTGTGTTTGGGCAGAGCGGTGGCTCAGTGGCTAAGGATCTGCGCCTGTGGCTGGAAGGTTGCCAGTTCAAATCCCTTGGCCCGCAGAGGAATCCTACGCCGTTGGGCCCCTGAGCAAGGCCCTTAACCCCAGCTGCTCCAGGGGCACCATATAAATGGCTGACCCTGCGCTGTGACCCCAAGCTTCTCTCTCCCTGTCTGTGTGTCTCATGGTGAGCAAGTTGGGGTGTGCGAAAAGACAAATTCCTAATACAATAAATTGTATATGGCCAATAAAGGGATCTTATCTCTTAATCATGTTCATAAATTATTTTCCAATACCAATATTTAATTGCATACTCCTATACTTTTATTTGTAGTTTAAAAAATATTCTACAGGAATGGCCACAGTGTATCCACAGGTCAAATGATAATGGCATACTTAACAGTTAGATAAAGTAACATTTAATGCCAATTTATAGCAGTATTCCTCGTGTTCCTCGGGTTGCTGATATAAATAAGGGTGCAAGTTTCATTGATAAATAAACAGTAAGCAAGACATTTTTTCTCACAACTTTTCGGCTAAACGTATTTGGTTTATTGGGTATTATTTCAGTAGTGACCTACTTATATGCCAGTTAGAATATTGGATCCCCTAAAGTGAATGAACACAGCAGATAGTGCCATGTATTAAACCCATGGCAGGAGCCAGGGAGTCCTGCACATGAGCTGTGTTCCAGACACTATGTGATGCATCACAAATCATCTGCATGTTTGGAGAATGGAACCCCCCTCCGATGTATATATTATATATTTATATATTCTCATGGTGTGGAGGCGGGCATTCTGAGTGCAGTGCACGTACAGTTAATCTCTCTAATGTTATTGAATCCAGATATGGCATAAAATGAATTTCTGACAGTTTTGAGTGGGACAGTAATGCTAGGAAGGTTAATCCTTTCTATCCATGGAGCTGGACTGTGATGGAATTGGAAGTAAAGAATGTTGCTCTGGCAGGGTGGCAACACATCAGCTGAGATCCTCTGGAGTGATACTGAATTGCAGGATAAAACACCTTCAGATGTGAGGAAACGCTGAGATCCAAGATCTTTCCACAAAGGTCCAAGATTTTTTATCAAAGTCAACGACAGCTGCCCTATCCAGATGCAGAAAGCTGTAGCTCTTCTTCATCTGGTAAATCCAAAACATTATTATGCCCAGCCTGTCTATCCTTACTCAGTGTTGTCATTGTTGCCACTGGGGGATCTGTTAATCTGAAGTTCCTCAAGCTCAAAAGTGATATCTGTACTGTAAATCGTGACTCCTAGAAACAACTTTTTATTCTTTTATATTAGTTCTATTATTTTTCTTTGAACTTGGGGCATTAAAATCATCGATTGAATAATCAGACTTGTGTCTATAGGGCACAAATGAAAGTGGCAAACAATATGTTGGTGGTTTGAAGCCCAAAGTAAAATTTAACAGGGAGTTGAACATTTGTTTACTACAGTATGTTTGTAAACAAATAGTGAAATAGTTAAATGGTGAGTTTTAATGTTTTTTATGTTTGTAGGGATGTTACCCTGGCATCCTGGCCAAATTTCCCATTGGCCTTTACCTATCATGTCCTCCTTATAATCCCCATCTATGAATTGGCTTCATTACTCTTCTCTCCTCCCCACTGATAGCTGGTGTGTGGTGAGTGTTCTGGCGCACTATGGCTGCCGTCGCATCATCCAGGTGGGGCTGCACATTGGTGGTGGTGGAGGTGGGTCCCCATTACCTGTAAAACGCTTTGAGTGGAGTGTCCAGAAAAGTGCTATATACAATAAGTGTAAGCAATTATTATTATTACTATTATTATTATTGTGACTGGACAATAATGTAGGGCTCAACACTGGAATGATCTTACTTTCACTGGGAATTTGATTAGATACAGTCTCTATATAAATCATCCCTCAATCACTCCATGTTAGGGGAAAATCTAAAAGCTAATTTTAACAGCAAGTGAAAGAATAATTTAAATATTGTCTCACTTGGGTTTACCTAAATACAAAAAAATTCTCAGTTAAAAATAAACTCCAGGAGGTGTATTGAAGTGTTGGTTATATGGTTAGGCCGATGGTGAAAATACTGTATATTTGATTTGTTTAGTAGAGTTCACAACAAATGTTCAACAGAGGAGCAATCCTCTACTCTTACCAATCAACTGTTCAGTAGTGTATAAATCCACATTTTCCTTCCCAGTAACCTTGGCTGAAATACCATTAATTTTATGTTTTTGGATTGCCTTGCCCAAATAGTACGTCCAGGTCACCGTTCCTTAAGATCATTTCCTGAACTGAAAAAAATTGTCTGCTACTCTACCAAAGACGCACATTTTCTTTCCCAGTAGTTGATTTACTCAATCCCAGATGTTTGGCGTAAGTAGCTGCATAAAACAACTGTCATTTGTCCTACCTTAAAAACCTAGGAGGATTTTAAAAACAGAACTGGGTGATAATCAACATTGTGCTTGCAAGCTGAAAAGTCCCTCTCACAGCACACATAACCTTAACTTAGCATGTTCACAAAAATGGAACCCTCTTTCTGACCCCTCTTTCACCTACTGTACAGAGTCAGAATACTACTGAAGGGCAGCAATGATTCAGTTGGAAAAACTACCTATCTTAATAAAAAGTACTTTGATGTACTGAATGTTTGAAAACTACAGTACTTACTGTTCCACGATATTACTTTTCCTTTGCATTTTGTATACTCTGCAGGAAGAACTCAAATTTGATTATGGAAATCTAAATTTGAAATAAACAATTTCAACAAATAACCTTCAGGTACAGTTTGTGGCAGAACAGACATATAAATGTAAAAATAATTTGAATGTTCACTGTGCTGATGCTGCTGAGGAGTGAAAACAGCACCAAAGCACTTTCTACTTCTGAAAGCCTGTAAGAAATCGTAATTTGAAAATATTATTCATGAATGATTATCTCATATTTTTTTCCTAATGTTGTAAATTTACATTTATTCACAATCAATTCTTATTTTATAGGGTGACTTTTCACTCTTAAAGCACTTTAAATAAGGTTTTAGTAAAGCTGTACTGTTTTTGTTTTATACACTTCTGGAATGTTTAACGTTTATCTTAAAAAAAAAGATAACATAGCATAGAATTGAAGCAACCATTTTTTTTCTGTGGAAATCTGTGTATTCACAAATGAAATTACTTTTCAAGCCAGGAAATGTATTTTTTACAGGCAAGGTCACTGAAGGCATTTAGGTTTGTAGACGAATCGGTACCATTATTTCTTTGTCAGAGTACTCTTGGGCTTTCAGTGGAGAATTTCACTCAGAATAGCATTTAAGCTTATTCTCCATAGTGGTTTCTCCCCCCCACAAAAAAGTTGACAGCCCTTTATCTATACCTGGTGTAATAAATCTGCCTTGTCACAGATTTAAATCAAACATATCTTTGTTCATAGACATTCTTTTGATTTTGTTTCCATCCAGCTATGTAGAAATATTATTTACCTTGTAACTTATTGGACGTCTTCTTCATTAGTAGGTGTTTGCCGTATGGTCAGAAATTTACTGAATTTGTCTTGTTGAACATTAAGAAAGTGTATCTTGCATTGCAGTGCAAGTTACTGTTATTGTCATTAAATAACAATGTAGGTCTATGTAAAGTGACTGAAAAATATTATTAAAGAATTGATATTTTTAACCTTTTTCTGTGCTTTTTAAAATGATTTTTGTGTGTACTTTATATTTGGTCTAATATTTTGCTGCTCACACTGGGCTGGAATTAAAAGTTAGATAAAAACTTACCAGGAGTAAAGACTTACAATTTTGAATGATATAAGTCTCGTCTGGTAGTGGAAAAAATCAATGAGATATGATTTGTTACATCTGTGACAGAGCCAGGACAGATGGCGTTGGCTTCATTGTGCTGAAGGCTTTAGTGTCGAGTTTTGGTCTTACTTGCAAAGACTCCAGAGACGTCCCTGTCTCTTTATTTATTAAATGCAATCTACTCCCTAAACCTTATCACCAACTCTCCCTGTGAAACCTTGTTTAAAGCGCACTCATCAACACCGAGTTTTTTTGACAAGGCCCCCTCACCTGAGCCGAAGATAGCCCTTGGATCGTCACCCCAAGTGGGAACTCCCAGACTCACAGCCTCACTCTACCGGTGCTTTCCAACCACCCTAATGCCCTTTTTCCGTGAAGGGAAACCCTGTGTACCCTCATGATTTCAAAGGGCTGGTGGTGGCTAGTGAGGGCAACAGTTTGGGTGGGATGTGTTGTGAAAACTTGGCTGGATCATCTCCTTCAGCCCGTCTTCCTTTCTCTCTCGGCAGGGCTACGACACACAAGGTATGTGGGCAGCTTCTGTCATCGAGCTCAGCCATATGGGATCTAAGCAGGGTAACTCCTTCTCTTTCACCTAAGTGCAGAATATCCCCTTACTTTCTGGCATTTCTGTCCTCGGCAGGGGGAGTGGATCACTTGACTGCATTGCTGGGGAGATGTGGTTCCAGTGAACCTGCATACTGTGATTGGGTACATCTGTGAGAATTGCTCTAAACTGAGTTTCTGTGTAAATTTAAAAAAGATTATGGGCACTACTACAAGTGTGTGAGCACCTCGGATAATCCAATTTCAGACCTTTACTTCTCGACCACAGAAAACTAAAGACATTTGTTCACAATGCTGCTTTTGCTTTTTCACTGAGTTTATAGATTTTAGTGATACTGCACCTACAAATAAATAAAAAGTGATTTCATCTTTCAAATCGCTTACAGACCAATCAATCAATCTATGAAAGCTACAGGTGAAATTCACAAGTTATGATAATGACTTACAGCCGCTTTGTAATCTATTGTAGGAACAGATTTTATCGCAGTTTGCTTATTTTCTGGGGAAGCCTGTTCTTGTTCATATTTTCCCCAGTCTGTCAGATAACGGTGGAAACGTCTGTATCCTTTGAATACCAGCCTAAAATCTAAAACAATGATTTGCAATGGGCAAAAATTCATCTAAACCCTTTGAAAAAAATACAGAGATTTAAGAAAATACAGAACAGGTCTAATTATTCAATAAGACATCCAGGATGTAACAGTAATGTATATATCCATACGGGTACATTATTTTAACATGTCACATCATCCCCATATTGTGAACAATAGACATAGCCATTGTGCATAGAGTATTATATTTGTATGCTAACCTGCTCTATCCAGTTACCAATGTAAAACATTCTCCTACTTCTCGTTTGGTGTGTACCGTATATAGAGAGATGTTTCTCAACACCCATTGACGCAGCAAGCTTTCTTCATATATGTTTGGGTTTTTTTATGTATATCTGTTAAATATTTTTTTCTTTCCTGTCAAGTAATTTTTTTTCTGAAAGTTATATACCAATAGTTCACCCCAGTATCTTGTGAGCTGTTGTGGTATTCCAGTAGACTGGAATCTCTTCATGATCAGGTTACTTAATGCAGTTTCTAATTATAAACACTGGCATTTTAAAATGTTATTTTTTTAAGGACTCTGAATGGAAACAAACAGGAGCTCAGCTTTTCCAAATGCATTCTCATAGCTTACATAAATGCCAGGCACCCAATCCGCAGACACTGTGCCCTATTTATACACCGACTGATCCTTTTATTGGCAGAGAGACCATTTGATTCATGGACTTTTTCCTGTTATCTTTTTTCTCACTTAAATTGTGTCCTATTTTGTGTGTCTATGTCTTTGCTTTGCATTGTTCTCCACTATTGCTTCCACTCAGCTTTTCAACAGGTTCTTGTTAAACATTCCCACCAAAACTTCCTTTTGTCTTCTCACAGTTAATTGTAAAGAAATGAGCTGGAGAAATCTGTCAATGTGTTCTGCTCTGCTTCCCATCAATCATTTTGGAGATCAATGGGAAGAAATAATGTAAGTAGCCAAATGCTACAAACATCAACCTACCTGCAGCCTTTTCCTTGACAAATGTCTGTAATTATACAGAATAATATACATACCTCACAACAGTTGTTCTGCAATGTTAATATTCTAATCCCAAGTGCACCCTTATATTATTTAATTCATTAGTTTAACAATGGGTTTGATGACACTTTTAAAATAATTTTTCAGTTCTTAGAGGGGTTTATTGGGATCAAAAATAAGCTTTTGCCAAAGAGTAAAGCAAAATAAGCAAATTTAATAACATTTGTACTTGAAGACAATACCTGAAACATGATATTTGTTGTTCTAAGTTCACTAAATAAAAAAATACATGAATCTTTGGAGAACGGAGTTATGTGTTTTAAACATATACTTGCGTCTGTGTCAACAGTACCAAGACAGTAAAATTGCGGATCTGCTGGTAGTCAAATCATTTCAAACCACTAGAGAGCAGCACTGGAACTGGGTTACAAATACTTATGACATTGATACACATGGATTGATGGACAATTTGCACTTATTACTGAAGTGTACCAATAGTCAACTGCCACGTGCACAGAGACAGAAATACATCTTTTGTCTGACGTTTTGTGTGATGTGTCATTTATAGTTATTAATAAGAAGGCCCTGCTGAGCCCAGAAAAGAGACCCCTCAGCCAGCTGTTCCTGAAGATCACTGAACCAACAACGTCAGGGCAGCACAACATCAACAAGAAAACACAAATCAAAATCAACCAAATCACAGCACAAACCAAACAAAACTACCTTACCCATTGGGGGATACAAACACAGCACAAACCTGAATACTACAGGACCCTAAGATGACAATACAATACTCTAGCTGAGTATTGGACAAAGGTAAGAGACAGACCCTGATGACGTATAGGCTCAGTGACTATACTGTGGCCGTAGAAATTGGGCGACACAGACAGACCTGGCTGCACAGAGAGGACGAGCTGTGCGCTCTTTTCCAGAAGGGAGAGGAAGAGACAGAGGTTCTCTTTCTGCTTCACTGTATGAAATACGCTGGGATTAGACAAACATTCTTCACTAAAATAACAAATCTAATCCCAGAATTCTCACACCTGCCAGAATCAGAACAGCTCCCAATCCTACTGGGGGAGGACAGGGGTCAACAGAGCTGGCAGGCCAGAACGAGATCTCCTGTCACAGCCTGAGGAACAGGCAGTGAGCCTGTCTCACTATAATGTGTAAATATATGTGATATAAGTGATTTAATGTTTGCATTGTAAATGTCTGGAAAGGTTGTGTATCTACTTTGGCAACACTGTAAATTCATCGGTTGTGCCAATAAAGCTCTTTGAATTTGAATTTGACAACAAAGCCGAGGCAATGTGGTCCAGTAGGCGGCAGTGTTCCCTTTAGAAGACACTTCATCTGTCCTCTCTTTGATTCTTGTTGGTTCTGTGGCTGAAAGTTCAAGGGTTATCAGGAAAACAATTGTGAAACGTGTTTTGGAGACAATCATTGAATATATGTGAAATTATTTGATCGGTGCTTGAGGAGATTTAATTTTGGTAAGTAACTCTCGTTTATCTTCGAAAGTACAATGATAAGAAAAACAACGAGTTAACCCACATTTCATTATGGGAGCCATCTTAAAGCGCACACTGCGTTTTTTTTAAGTGTACTGTTTTCATTTCGCAAGAGAAAAGAATCGAGGGATTTTAAACAAATTGTAGCCACTAGCGTTTGAAAGAAACAACGTGTTTTGCTGCTGGGCATTTCCTTGAGACGGTAGGATAGAAAACGTTTTAAATAAATTGACCTGAAGTCTTATAAAGCTGTAACTTACGTTCGAGTTGATAATGTTAAATCACTTCGTTAGAAAGCGAAGGAGGTCTGCCGCAAACGTGAAGAGGCCATGTACAGTAATTACTGTGTTGGTTTGATTTTTAGTAGCTGGTTGATCTGACGGTGTCAGCCTAATTTAAGTAACAACAGATGTTTGTTTTAAAAAACGTGGTTGTGTAGCTTGTTATATTCCAATTACTCGTTGCTTAAAGACTTGCCTCCCTGTTTAGGTTTTATGTGTACTTCCAGGTAGTTTTGTGGTTCACGTTTCACAAGGATTAATTGGTCAGTGCCCTTGAGTATGTTGAATACTTGAATTATGTCCGGTCATAACCTTCTCTTTGTAAGGCTAGAAAGACGCTTCATACTCCTGTTCTTTACCTGAATCCTGTTTTTTTTAAATCAGTTTAACAGTTTTGTTAAACCATTTAGGCCAGTGTTTCCTAGCTTTGGTTTGCTTGCTCTAGGTCTGAATATTTTCTGTGTTTCAAGAAATTTTTTTTTAACATTGCCTCCCACTCCTAACGATTCCGTATCTATCCCATAGTGTTCCGCTGCTCTGAAACTCTCTCATTCCTTCGGAGTAACACTGCGCACCTTTCTGGTTTCTGACTGTACAGCTCTGAAATATACTTGCTCCATATTATTATCATCATTCCCTGCTTATCATATTGCTGCTTGGAATTTTTTTCGAAAGAGAGATCTCAACCTTTACAGGGTCATGTAGTTGTGTATGACTAGATAGAACACATCATCTGCAGCTTCGTTGGTTCATTTTTGTCGCATGAATTATGCAGATTGAATATTTCCTATGAAGACTTCCTGCACTTAATGACGAAGAGTAGCTGTAGGAAAGTAGATGTTCGTGTGGGAGTTTTTGTGCACTGAATCCGTCCTTGCAAATCTAGTTTGCACACAATGTAGTTCTCCCACCTCATTTTTCATATAACATTTGATGAAAACTTTTGTTAACATTAATATCTGCTATAATAATAATTGCTTACACTTATATAGCGCTTTTCTGGACACTCCACTCAAAGTGCTTTACAGGTAATGGGGACTACCTTCCACCACCACCAATGTGCAGCCCCACCTGGATGATGCGACGGCAGCCATAGTGCGCCAGTACATTCACCACACAGCAGCTATCAGTGGGGAGGAGAGCAGAGTAATGTAGCCAATTCATAGAGGGGGATTATTAGGAGGCCATGATTGGTAAGGGCCAATGGGAAATTTGTATGGCAGTATGCCGGGGTTACACCCCTACTCTTTTCGAGAAACACCCTGGGATTTTTTAATGACCACAGAGAGTCAGGGCCTCGGTTTTACGTCTCGTCCGAAGGATGGCGCCTGTTTACAGTATAGTGTCCCCGTCACTATACTGGGGCATTAGGACCCACACAGACCGCAGGGTGAGCGCCCCCTGCTGGCCCCAGCAGCAACCTTAGTTTTTCCCAGGAGGTCTCCCATCCAGGTACTGGCCAGGCTCACACCTGCTGAGCTTCAGTGGGCTGCCAGTTGTGAGTTGCAGGGTGATATGGCTGCTATAGTAAGTTCTTCAATAGTTGACATCATTACCGAAGATAAATGTGGCTCATTACTGGTGATAAAATGTGACCTTGGAGTAAGGACAGTTGTTTACAACTTAACATCTGCAAAACTTCAGAACGAAAAGACCCCCCTAGTGTTTCCTTTAACATCCAGGATACTGATGCAGAGATTGTGGAGTCCTTGAAGTTCCTTGGTGTACATCTGCATAAGAACACAGATTTCTTGTAATGTTTGTGGTAACATGCTGGCTGTGCTAGATCAGAGTGGGGTGGGTTGTGTGGTGTTTTATGCATTTCTGTGTTGAGGGGGTAACATGAAGAAAGACTGTCTGACTGGACAGGCCTATTAAGTGGACAAGCCCCACTGTTGGAACACACCTGGACTCAGTGGAGGATAAAGTATGAAAGCAGATCCTGAGGACGGACGCACTCAGAGTGGGCAAATGTGTGGCACCCTGTCCACACAGTGATTCCAGATCCAAAAAGCCTCTTCAGTGGTCACTTTTTGTCTCTGATTGGTGCACCACAGAGAGGTTAAGGAGATCCTTTTTACCCGCAGGCATCCATGCAGTGAATAACTCGCAAGGCATTCTGACTTTGCTTTCCTCTTGAGCTTCTTGTTTTAAGAATAATGCACCGCGTAGTCTGATCAGTCATGTCAGTGTCCTCCGTCATGCGTCCGTCTTGGGAGTGATTGTCACGTCTGGGTAGTGTTTCCATGGTCTTTCATGTCCACGATGCTGTGCTGGCAACTTAATCTCCCCCTTGTCGATTGATCAGGTGGGTGGGAAGCTGCAGGAGCGACAAGCAGAATAAACGGGAGCTCTTGCCCTGCAGGCATGTCCTCGTACACGTGTATCAGCTGCCGGGTGGTGTTTGCCGACGGGGAGGTCCAGCGCGCCCACTACAAGACCGACTGGCACCGGTACAACCTGAAGAGGAAGGTGGCCGACATGCCGCCCGTCACGGCGGAGAACTTCCAGGAGAGGGTGCTGGCGCAGCGCGCCGCGGCGGCCGACGAGGAGCGGGCGCAGGGGGAGGGGGCCCAGTGCTCCACCTGCGGCAAGAAGTTCTCCTCCGCCAACGCCCACCAGAACCACCTGCAGTCCCACAGGCACCAGGAGGCCGAGAGGAAGGCGGCGCTGGCCGCCCAGCGGGAGGTGGAGAGGATGAACGAGAAGAACCTGGAGAAGGGCCTGCGGGGGGCCGACCTGGACCACAACGCCAGGAACCAGGCCATCCAGCAGGTCCTCCGCGCCCAGCACAGGGGGCTGGCGAAAGGCCAGGCCGGCCGGCTGGCGGCCCAGGACCGGCAGGAGTCCAGGCCGCGGCCGGACAAGGCCCCAAGGCAGCAGTGGTTCGAAGAGCAGGCCCGGAAGTTGAAGGAGGAGGAGGAGGAGGCCGCTGGAGAGGAAGGTAATTTGTCAAGCTAGCCGATGACTCGAGAGTGTGATGTCTAATGTGAGTCGGAGTAAGTTGTTCAGGTTCCTCCCTGTCATGAATGGATCTTGTCCTCTCCTGGCCATTTCCAACATTTCAGTCCGTATGGTCTCTTATTTACAGTCACTCATTAGCCAGCCCCTGCTATCCAGAGCAACTAAAATATAAATACAGTTTGGTAGGGTCAGCGTCAGCCTTCGGACATAAGCGTTACAAATAGATTAGCCGATTTGGGAAGCTGTCAGAGGGCAGACCCACAGGGAAGCCATGTCGTTAACAGCGTGTGAGAAACAGTGTCATGAAAATAGAGTGACAGCCAGCGAAGAAGAGTCCAGGATGTTCAATATGGAAAGGAAGATGAGTCAGTCCCCTGCAGCGAGGTTGCAAAGCGCTGTGCCTCTGCTCAGGTTCACAGCCCGTCTTGTTAACTCCGGTGTTTGAAATGCAGTGGAGTGGGAGGACCTGGACGACGACGACGACAATGACGACATGGATGAGGAGGAGGAGGCGGAGGAGGAGTGCGAAGAGGAGTCTCAGGGGGCTGGGGCTGCGACGTCCAAAGAGCCGCCCGTGGGAGTCATTCCTCTTACAGACTGTCTCTTCTGCGCCCATCACTCCCGCTCTCTCCTGAAAAACCTGGCTCACATGACCACAGCCCACAGCTTCTTCCTCCCCGATGTAGAGTACCTGGTGGACCTGAAGGGTCTGATTAGGTATCTGGGTGAGTACTGGGCGTCTTTACTTGGATAGCTCCCGATTTTGTGCATCTGAAAAGACAAAGGTGCCCCAGCTGTAAGCTTCCTGATGATTTTTTTGTATTTTAAATTTGAATCAGGTGTTTGGGTTTGGCAGGTTTTGACTGTAGAATCTTTTTCAGGTTCAGACAATATATATTCAGTATCGTATGTCTGTAGGCTGGCCGTTCATTTTGATCCACCTTATCTTTTTGGTTAAAGTTAGAATATTTAACAAAATACATGGCATATTAAGGAGTATTTAGAAGTAGCCCTTTTTTCTCTCTGTTATTTAAAAAAACTGCTGTTTTAAACACAGACCCAGACATGTGAGATTTAGCCAGGGTCCATGTTACTATCCTACTGTGACTAGGATTCTCAAAGCAGTGTCAAAATGTGCTGTAAAATATGAAACAATGGGTGGGAATAACAGAGGAGTTCTTTTGTCCTCCTTTATTTTTCCCTTGTGCGTGCCGAGATGTAACAAAATAACATTTGAATCTCTACTAAGACAACACAATAATGAAGGAAACATGTGTTTGCCCTTTCCACTTTTACAATATTTTAATTAATATTGTTTTCTTGAAGAGTTTTTTCCCAAAAAATTGGTCCCTCTTCCCTTGTGACTGCCCACATTAGCACGGTCTCCATGCTCTGTGCCCAGAAACAGCCTGCTTTTTAATTACCGAATGTTTTTTCTGCCTCTTCAGTGCCACGATGTCTGAATAATTGCACATCCGTTCCGTTCAGTTATGTTAACTTGACAGTGTTTTTTTTGTCAAATGAGCGTAGCGATCCTGTTTCTTCCCAACTCGGCTTGTGTTTCGTTTTGCAGGGGAAAAAGTCGGAGTAGGAAATGTCTGCCTTTGGTGTAATGAGAAGGGCAGGTCCTTCTACTCGACAGAAGCAGTCCAGGCTCACATGATGGACAAGAGCCACTGCAAACTCTTCACCGATGGGGACGCAGCTCTGGAGTTTGCCGATTTCTACGATTTCAGGTACCGTGTGCTGAGCTCTTCTAGGCTTTCTGAAACCTATTGGAGCGATCCATACTCATCCTTTTAACACTAGAACTCCAAATGGGCTGATTTGTTATTTTGTCCTGGTATGTTGAGAACCCACCTGGTTCCCAAGCAGGTAAAACTGTTTTAGTTAAGGAGGCCAAGTGGACCAATATTAAATGATATCTCATGGAAACATGGCATATTCCTGGCAACCTGTAGACTATCCCAGTAAAACAGAACCTTGGAGATGGAACAACAGCTTATAAGTGTTGTAAATTGAAGTCTGTAAATGCCTTTGCATCATGCAGTCCCAGCTGGGAAAATGCTAAACATAAATGGATCAACGGCGACTCTTGTTTAGAACTGTAGTCAGCTTTTCTGGAGACCAGTAAGTTAGGTGAAATGTGCCAGTTGATTAATCAGGTGCATGGGTGACTGAATGCCCAGGTTCATCTGGTTCCACGAAGACCCTGTAGTGGTGGGCAATTTTGTCATCTGTCTAAAAAAAAAAAGAGCTCCGTTTCTGTCGTATCAGGCTACAGCTCTAATTATGAGCACAAACGAGGTCGTGTTGTTAGTTGTTAGTGCTGGATGGTGTGCAGAACTCTCTCTGGCCTTGGTTTTTGTTATCTGGTGGAGTTTCAGATCTGCTGAACTGATTGAAGGGCCTCTCACTTCACAATGTTCATGGCTTCACATGCCGATGATGGAACATTCGGCCAGTGTCTGGAAAATGCATTGTGCTGGCAGCCATATCCCATTTTCTGGAAACACTGTTAGCATAACGATGTAATTATTTCCCGATAATGAAGTATTGCAAGAATATAAATAGTAGTGATTGCAGCATAATCAAAGCAGCTCAGTAAAGATGAATTAGAGGGAGATTCCACTTATAGAAGCAGCCTGTTTCATTTCACTCTTTCTGGAAAAATCGTATTTCTGTTGCCTTATATCTAAAAGCGGCTTTTGTTGGTTTTTATACTCGTATGTAGACTGCTCCTGTTAAGCGCAATATAATCTTCTCCTCTCTGTTGTACATTAGCTTCTAATTTCTGTTCACAATTAATTTTTTGCTTAATAGAACCAATTTAAATCTTTTTCAAAGCACCCATTTTGATTGAAAGTGAACTGGAATGCAAAGGTTAGGCAGTTCAGTGATCCGTTGGTAATAAAACTAAAAACGTTTTTTTTTGGTTTACACAAAGCTTTAAATATAAAATCTCAGCTGGTTAATGTAAGCCTGGTGCGGTAAACTAGTTGTTTAAATCTTAAATGGATGGTGCCATCACTGGTCTGCTGTCTTTTAGTTGGTGTTTGGAACTGCTACACGTTTGCATTTCTTAGCCAAGCTGAAAGACATTAAATCCCAGGGTCTCTTTTAATAATAATAATAATAATAATAATTGCTTACACTTATATAGCGCTTTTCTGGACACTCCACTCAAAGCGCTTTACAGGTAATGGGGTCTCCCCTCCACCACCACCAATGTGCAGCATCCACCTGGATGATGCGACGGCAGCCATAGTGCGCCAGAACGCTCACCACACATCAGCTATCAGTGGGGAGGAGAGCAGAGTAATGTAGCCAATTCATAGAGGGGGATTATTAGGAGGCCATGATGGGGTAAAGGCCAGGGGGGAAATTTGGCCAGGACACCGGGGTTACACCCCTACTCTTTTCGAGAAGCGCCCTGGGATTTTTAATGACCACAGAGAGTCAGGACCTCGGTTTTACGTCTCATCCGAAGGACGGCGCCTGTTTACAGTATAGTGTCCCCGTCACTATACCGGGGCATTAGCACCCACATGGACCGCAGGGTGAGCGCCCCCTGCTGGCCCCACTAACACCTCTTCCAGCAGCAACCTTAGTTTTTCCCAGGAGGTCTCCCATCCAGGTACTGACCAGGCTCACACCTGCTTAGCTTCAGTGGGTTACCAGTTGTGAGTTGCAGGGTGATATGGCTGCTGGTTTTAACCTTTTAACTTTTCACCTGGGTGGGCTGGAAGTTGACAGATTAGTACAGCAGCTTTTGTGAAACTACTTTTGATTTGGGGTTGAACAGGAGCAGCTACCCTGACCACAAGAAAGGAGACGATGTTGAAATGGAGGCTGATGAGATTCCTGGTCATAAAAATATGGAATACGATGATGAAACGATGGAACTGACTCTTCCATCAGGTAAGCTTACTGGGAACATCTTCTGTTATGTGTCCATCAAGTGTGACACCATTAATATATACAGTCTAAGTGCTAGAATACCAATGAGAACCTACTCACTTCATTTCTGCAGATGACTGAAGTTGTTTTTTTTACTACTCTTTCTTCTTCTAGATATGAAAACGGTGCAGAGTATGAACTTTGTAGCCTAGCTAATAGTTTGTAAGTTTTGTATTCATTGTATAACTAATCAATTCCCATGTTTTCAAAAGCTGTACTGTGTTAAATTTCGTATATACAGTATAAGTTGTTTTCCAAAAAAGACTAGCGTCTAATGAAACCATATCATTGTTTTGATTACAATTGCAGTGACATATGAGGAAATGGTGTACATGTTTTACAGTTAATTTGTATGTTGCTTTGTCACTATCATAACTGCATAATGTTTTATATTTAATATTTTGACGGTGCTGGGAAAGCTATGGTACAGAATCTTGTGTATTGCTACAAAACATAGAGATGATCCAGAAAGAAACAGGTTAATGTTTGTACTGGATAAGCTGTGTAGAACTGGATTATTGTGTGGCAGTCCAGTTTAGCTTTGTTACTGTACCGTGATGCATTACAAATGCAATATATGCTATTAGTTTCAATATGATTTTGTTACATTTTTAATGTCTCACGATAAGTGTAGTATGTTTTGGTTTCAGTCTACTTTCACATAATTTACATTGTCCTTATGTAGACTTTGGTAGCGCCAAATGTGACACTTAGAGATTGCTTTTGGGATGTAGGGTGTTTCCGATGATGCAAAAGAGACATCTTATTAAACAACTGTAAGTGTGTTACAGTGCAGATTGGTAACTTCCAATTATTTTATGACAATCTTAATAAATGTTTTTGCTTTTTCAGAGTTAAGCTGGTATCAAGGGAGGGGATAAGGGATCTCTGTACTATGAGAACATTTTGTTTACCACACAATAAAATTAAAAGTAATTACCCTAATGCACCCTTATACCCTAATTGCGCCTTATAATCATTAACAGGAATTAAGTGGCTTTCTGCTAGTCAGTGGGTGAATGAATCAAAGACAGGACTTGAAAGCTAGATGGGCTCGATAAGTAACTTGGAACCCAGATCAGTTTTATGCTGTGTGCGCTGCTCAACAAGGAGGTTAAATTAAGTCTGATTCTCAGCCAACAGTACTGAGAATGTGGAGGGTTTCTGAAGGTTACGCTGAAGTCTAATTAATGAAGCTTTAAAGAAGCAATTAAGGATGACTTTTCAGCTCATAGAATACAAACAATAAGCAATAAAAAATGACATAAGGAGTCTGTTAGTATACCTTCATTGTTTGGATTCAGGCGCATTATTCATGTAGAAAGGTATAAAACTCATTAAATCCGTGGGAAGCTGGCTGATTCTTCTGCTACCTTGGTTTTCCAAGCTAAAAACGTGAAGGTTACATTACAGGGATAGTCAACACTTGTTATCCAGTCATGCCTGTGGAGAATAGTGGTTAATGTATAGTAGTCTTGGTGCACTTGAATTTCTTTTTGCTTTGTCCCAAATAGAAGAGCAGAGTATCCTTTTTGACAGGATGATCCTTCCAGTCTTTGTGTGCTGAACTGGTGTCTCACAGGGTTGTGTTTGTAACAGGGGCCAGAATTGGACACAGATCTCTCATGAGGTATTACAAGCAAAGGTTTGGAGCTCCGAGGACTGTGGCCATTGCCAGTAACAGCAGGGCGCTGGGCAGGGTGTTGCGACAGTACAGAGCCCTCGGATGGGGAAGCGACTCAGGTGAGGATCACAGGAGCTGCTGCAATGGCGTCGTGGCACTTTTCCTTCTCCGAAGACGTCCTTCATTGTGGTCCTTTTGTCAGCAGAAGTTATAAATGTGGAAAATGTTGCAGTCTGTTTTTAGAAATGCATCATTTGTGGCCATATGGTTGAAGGAAAGGTTAATTTGCGGGATGGAGAAATATTCTTAATCTAAACGGTGTTCCCTTATTTTAAAGATGAAGGAATTATTCTGATCTCTCATTTATAAAAATGAAGAGCTCTGCCATTTGGTAACAGTTTCACTAACATGAAGTAAGTGGATGTGAAATCTAAGTAGAATCCTACTGGTGTGTTCATAGCACTACACACTAAAAGCACTAGTTGGGCATCCAGCTTTACATTTTTTAGCAAGATGAGAATCCATAAGCCTTTTTAATTTTAACTTCAGTTTAACCCCTAAACCAGTCTTCTACTGTCTATACATAAAAGGTTATTACAGAATGTTTAAGGGGAGGTTGCCTCTGGAGGTCTGTGAAACATAGGAAGAACTCCAAGGTTAAGAAGAAAACTGATCAAAACATTTGTAGTTTGTAGCCTGTTCTAAAATTGACCGCCTCTGCCTGTGTGGAGTGGTAGGGAATATACCCAGCATTTTTTTCTTTAACTTACGGAGTTAAGTTCCCTATTGCTGCTCTTTCCACTGCAGTTTGTTTTTACTCAGGGAAAATATCGAGGGAGCAAAAGGCAAGATGAATGTTAACTGATGTTTTTAAGCTTTAAAAAAGAAAATGGAAATGCTGTGCAATAACTGCCAGCTACATCTTGAATTCAGTCCTGCTATAAATAACATTGACATCTGAAGAACTAAACGTTCCAAAGCCAGACATTTGTCTCTGTTTTTTTTTTCCCCTGGCATTTAGCCAACACCTCTGCAGCACACACGCAGAGAGACATGCAGTATGTTCAGAGAATGAAGTCCAAGTGGATGCTGAAGATGGGAGTGAACAGCAACACTACCAAACAGATGCACTTCCGCGCACAAGTCATGTTCTGATCAAGCACTTTGCTCCGAATCTCTTCCGTGTTCATTAGCGCTGCAAATGTTACTTAGGATGATCTCATCCACACCTCTTTAAAAGACGATTCCCAGAAATACGGACCATAATCCCTGCCATCATGCTGCAGAGGTTGTATAAACCATATAAGTATAAATACTATATACTATATTTTCCAGTATAATCAGAATTGTGTCAGAATGTTTTAGTTATCAGAGCTCTTTTCTAAATTCTTGTAGGAATACATTACAATGAAATCTTTGAAAGCTGCTACAACAGTCAGTGGTTTGTAAATTTGTTGTTGGGAGAGCACTTGGAATGAACAGATTGAGGAAAAAAAATGTAATTTAAATATTTTACATATATTTAAACAGACCATATTTACTGTAGAGAAACCTAATCACCAAATAAAAATATACACATTGCAAGAACTTGTATAGTGATGCAGTTTTTCCAGCAGCTGAATTTGGGGTATAGCAGGGTATTCCCCATGTTTGCAGTGTTTCTATCATATAGTGTTGGGGAAAATTAATTTTTAAAATGTAAACCATTTCATTTTCATGTTGCGTATCTAATGGATTGCTTTTTCATGTTATCAAGATGTTGTGGGGCAAATAATTTTAAAAAAGCAGCAGTATGTACATAATATAGTATGTAGTTACTATGCAATACATTGGTTCTTAAAATCAAATTCTTCCAACTTATTTGAAACGTTATTCCTTAACTGACTAACTTCTTCTTCATAATGTAACTTTTGAGTATTTTTCATTTAAGCAAAATACATTAGCATGAATGTCACAATTCTGGTGAAAAAATATTGTAAGAAAATATAGTGAATAAACTTAGTTTCCCCAACTTCTTATTAATTTAAAAATGATAATCCCTCACTCAAGTAAATTGTAACTGTAATTGCTTACTTTTATGCTTTACTCATGGGAAGACTTTCCCTAGTGAATTTCTGATTTTGGATCAACAATGCATCATTAAGTGAAATGGTAATTATAAAGGCTTTACTTTAATTTCAATCAACAAAATGTGCTTAATTTCTGTTTTTGGATCAACAACATAAGTGCATGGCAATACTATTAGTACTAATTCCTTGAAAATTGTGTTCTGCTTTTTGCAATTCCAGTGCAAATGTGTTGCAGCAGGCAGCACAGGTAATGTGCCAGGTGTTTTTCTGGTGTCCCTTTAGCAGCGAAGATTCCCTGTCTCTATCCTGGGGATAGACTGTCACTAGCCTCTCCACCTGACCTTTTTAAATCCAGCTGTACATAATGGGACAAGGAATCAATAAGTGGAAGCATTTACTGTGTATTTTTCCCTGGCAGAGCACTCCCCTCTCTGGCCAGTCCTGGCCTTGTGCATATTGACTTAAAAACATGCTGCTGGGCTAATTCAAGGCTGTCCGATCCACTCAACTGAGCAGTATGCTTTTTTAGGTCATCTGCCTTAACAATTCTGTGGTCAGATATTTATTCATATTGGCCTTTTTACTAGGCTGTTTGTGCTTAGAAATGGCACTGTGTCAATTAGTGTTGTCTGCGAGTCATGTCAGATGCAGGCTGTATGATTTTTCTAATGCACAAACTACGTGAAGAAACTACTCCTACTCCAAGGTGAAAGGATGCCATGATCACTCTGATCGTATTGCAGTGTTGTATCTTTAAATGCAGAATGTACATCAGCTCATCTTTCCCATTGCTCAAGTGCTTAAGGCATATAAGACTCTGCTTTTGGTATGTTTAAGGTTTTGTCAGGTTAACAAAAGTCCTGAAAAATGTTTTTGTTTCAGCCACGGAGGGAGACCTAGAGGAGGAAGTCTAGAGGGACTGACAAATTTGTTTTCTAAAAAAACTATTACCCTTACAATGAATTGTCCCTCCCCAATCCTCGTGGGTGAGAATCTTTATCTTCACTGCTTTGGGAGACTTTAATAAGCGTAGCCTGTATGTCTGTATGTTACTAGCTGTGCTCTGTTCTTCATATCCATCCCTTATTAAATGCTAGGCTTTGATGTTAACCTTTCACCTTCAAGAAGCTTCAAGATGCTGCTACTGAAGCACTGTCCCTTTTCAAGGTGAAGACAAAAAAGCATAAACCGAAACTCAGACACTGACTGACACCCCTCTACTGTTCTACGCCTGCCCAACAATTTAGCTGGGGAAATGGTGTGCTGCAGCTTTAAGGGGGTGATTGAATGACGGATGCATTACTGTGGAGCTGCCACAGAGCAGAAGGATAACAAATGACTCAGTCCATTTGGTTATGGCCTTTTTGTCTTTGGCAGGATTTCCACTTCCTTAACAGATCAATGTATTTCTAAATATCGGTTAGGCACTCTGCCACGGCTAGTCTAAAAACACAGTCTGACTTCACTGGAAGACATAGCTGGGGAAGGGATGCAGACGTCTGGTAGCTAAAAGGGCAATGTGTTAATTGACTTTCTGGCTAAGGAAGCCCATACAAAGTTAGCGTTCCTTTTCCCATAAAAAACCTTAAAAGAAAGAATAAAAAGAAATATCTGGTGGAATACCCCTTGTTGGGCTTTTAAATTGCATTTGGGGTTACTCACCTCAAACCCCTGGCCACTATAAAAAAAAAAAAAATTCCAATTCCTGCTTGAAGTTAAATCTCTGACAACCTGAATTGACAACATTTTTCGGTGCCAGTGAGACCCATCCTGTATTCCCAGGGGTTTTATTCAAGTTGTGTTCACTGCTTTGTGAATGCTTTTCTTTTGTGTTTATCTTTCTTGCTAAGGACCCATTTCACCAAAGTAACCCCTCCCACATAACACTGAGTCCTAGTCAAACAAACCTATAAAGCGCTGAAGTAAATTAGTCATCGTGACCGGAAGCTTTTCACCTTCAGTTTACTGATCTACAAAGCTGATGCTAATGGTGTTTTTTTACTTTAATCTTTCATTTACAAGAAGCTGTGAGGGGCTAGCGATCTATCCTATTGATTCCTATATTGGCTGCAAATATCTAGCACCACCTGTTGTATAACCACAGTGGACATGTATTTAACCATATCCTCATACCTGGACTGCATTGCTAAAAGAAAAAAGGGCCTTGACAATAACTAGAGCTGTCTGGTAACCTTGTGATAAATGCTTCAGGGGAAACAAGATTCTGTCCTACATTTAGATTTTTTTACTCAAATCTGTTTATGGCTTTTTAATTTGATCCTTATGCACTGTAGGTAGGTACAGAGCAGTCTATATCAACAGAACATTGTGACTGTGCCAGATTCAGGTCATTTCTGTCTATACAGTACACATGTATACTAGTAAGCTTACGTAATGCATCATTTGACATGGCAATAAATGGCCAAAGATTCTTTATTTCAATTTCAGAATCAAAGTCTGCTGTTGTACAGACTACAGGCTGGTATTGATTGCTCTTGCAGGTAATGCGTTGACACAAGTCATAATTTACTTTCCTGCATTAGTGCACATTAACGTTACCCTGCTGTAAGTAGTACACTTCCTTGTGATGTACAGTAAGGCCTCTTTAGCTTCCTCTCTTACTCGAACAGCACTTTGTGGCTTTTTAGAGGGAGAATCTACTAGCCTAAATATAACCAGCAGACCAAGACTGAAGACGAATTTCACCCTGAGCTATATAGAAATAAATTGGGCTTTTAATAAGCCAATCCATGATACTGGTTTAGAACCTTGTCATGTAATCAGGTAAATCAGGTTGTCACTGTTTTACCATGTCATTTTAAAATCAGTTGTATTAGAGATCATCATGTACAGGCCTTCTTTAGTGGGCTGTTACTGTATTGTACTATGGTAGCTGCTCCACTGACTGTATTGCCATTGTTTTCTGTTCCTAAAGTCAGCAGAGTTTTTAACCCTTTCTCCTTCAGTTAGTCGTGATGCTAATTTTGAATGGCAGGAATTTGTTTTTTTTAGAAAAACGTGAACCCATTCCATAATTTTCAATAAATAGAACCATCTCATATGCTGAAATGTGGAACAAAATATGATTACAGTGTACAAGTGGTACTTCATCTCACCTGAAGTTGCCTGAGTTCTGAAAAAAGGGCAAAGCTGGATTTTGGCAGAAGTTAGTGTTGCTAGAGTTTGATTTTGCTCTGTTGCTTTTTTGGCACAATGCATTTAGTAATTTTATTTTAAAACTAATAAGCCAACGTTCTAAAATTAAAATCAGTTTGTGTATTATATCCTGAATACCTATTTTAAGTATTTTTAAAATAATGTATTAAAAGAGGCTAATAAGAACTAATTTGTAAGAGTTTTAGTTGATTTCAATAACTTTTCCTCTGATGGAGCTGGTAATTAAATGTCAGTTTATTACTTTGAAATGTGTTGAAACAATAAAATCAATTAGCTGTATAATTTAATGATCCACTCTTAAATGAGTTTTATTGAAAAAAAAAAAGCACAGAATATGCTTGCTGTTACATTTTTGGACCCTGATTTCTCCGTCACAAGACCATCCAGTATAAAACGATAAAAAACATCTTGGTGAATAATAGGTTTGTGATACGATATCCATTGCTGATATTGCATTTTCTAATGTTCCCCATGTTTGATGACGTTATTTGAATGAGAACTTCTATTGAATAAAAAGTCTAAATAATAAGTCTAAATTGCTCCCCTGCAAAAGACAACAATGAAACAATCCCCTTTATAAAGGTGCAGTTATTTACAGAGGATTTACTAATGCTTTCATCAACATGGAGCTGGGTAACTGATCCACCAAGCCAGAATTAATATGATGTCATCTGGCAGTCTGCAAGTGTTCCATTCTGTTTATGACAGGAAATGGCACTGTTCCACATGAGGCTGAAGAAGCATTTGTGGTACTTAGGATTTAAGCTTATGCCTTTATAGTAACTTCTCACAAATATGAAGAGCTGTGTCCATGAAGATCTTTTTTAAAAAATAACTATTTCTCTCAGTAGAATGACAAAAATATAAGATATGCTATAACATTGCCACTGCATAGAAAGCATATGATGTATATAAATGAGGCATGTTTACAGTGAATATCTAAATACAACTCAGCAATTTTACCTCACAAGCCCCACCTTTTTAACATTATTGGTATTTGTGTTCAGAAAGGAAGCCATAACATGTAAATGCAATTTTGAGACCTCAAAATAATTCAATGTGAGCCGAAAATACAATGCACCATCATGCTTTAGTATCTCTGTTGAGGAGATGGGTGTATCTCCTGCTATAAATGGCTGTAGGATTCGACAGTCTCGCATCGCAAAGTCCCCTAATTGCTGGAACTAGATAATTAAAATGTAGCATACTCATTGGATAAAAGTCATATCCCGTAACCGGGTTATCTTATTTTTGATTTTCTGTGATTAAAAGATCTAATGTTTTAAAATGTATGACTTTTCACTTGCCATCTACCTTTGCTGTGAAAGCAAACTACAAATAACGCATCGAATTGTATATACTAATATAATAAAAATGTGCATGCATGAGCAATCGTTAATAGCTTCCTGACTCTGAAGACAAAGGGGTTAATTTGTCTTTTTTCCCCCCTTACTTCACCCATACCAACTCGTACACCCGCCTCCCTCTCTCTCCCTACACGACACGCACAGCCTGACAGGCATACAGACCACCTCTTCCTTAAGTGTCACTGGGTCAGCAACAGACCTTCCCCTAGGAAAAAAAAAAAGAGGTCTCGTTAACCGCACCGTATCAATTTCCCCCGCTGCACGCATGGATAGCTCCTGCAGAATTTACCTACGGCAAGCCCGGTGTGAGATCAGACCGGCTCAAGCTGTTACCAGTCCCTTATCGTTGAACATCCACACCAACAGCCTTCCAGGACGGGTTCCTCGCGTCTCGGCGTGTGTCCGACCGGCGTGCCTGCGCCGCGAAAGTTTATCTTGCGTTTATTAAATTCCCAGTTTCCTTGGAAACGCGACCCGGGTGCAAGGACCGGCGATCCGAACGGTGTCGGTTTTCCAGCCAGCTTACTGCAGTCTGTTTGGATATGAACCTGCCAGGAGAGCAACCGTCAAACCACCAGCCCGACTGCACATGGAAGAGTCGGTTTTCCTCCAACTTTGCCGAACTGCTGTAAGGTCATTTGTTGCACCTGCACGTCGAGCTCGGTTGGGGTTGCACCGTTGCCTTCAGATCCGTGGCGCTATGCTGACATTTGCCCGGTGAAGCGTTTTGGTTTTGTTTTTTTTTTGGGGGGGGGAAGAAAGCCGTTTTATTTTTATTTTATTTATTTACTATGAGCTTAGAGGGAGAGGCGGGTCCGGTCTGCAGGGGTGCTCAAGAAGGACCGCTGGGAGGCGCTGCACAAATTCAGACCAGCAAAGAGGACCACGAGACAAGCGATTTGGAGGGACATCATCGCACCGGCGACACCGTGGGGGACGGAGAAAGCGCAGGTGAGGAATCCGTGGATATAAACCCGGGAGAAGGACAGAGTGGATGCACAGAGGAAGGTCACTCCGTGCACGATGGGGAAAACGATCGCGCAGTTAGCCCCGGGAAAGCGGAAGCGCTTCACTCGGACTGCAGCAGCGAGAACTGCAGCCCCACGCCGAGCTGCAGGATTTGCTTCCAAGGAGCCGAGCAGGTACGGTGCCGATTCACATGCTTTTTAAATACGTGGGTGGTTGCGCGTAAAGCAATTAACGCCGTCCGGCCAGGGGTCTTGGATGTTGCGCTGTGCCATACGGCCGGGTTTCAGCACCTTAGACAGCGACTGTTCAGCGCTGCAGCGCCGCAAAGTCTTCTTTTCCTAAACATAAAAAAATACTGCCTCGTTAAACCCAACATTTATTAATGTATTAGAAGAAAATTCACGTTCAGATTGGCTTTAAGTGCAACCGTGCTGTACGGATTTTACTTGTTTTGTCGTTGTCATCAAGTGGCTGTAGGTGTATTGGGGAGCGAGGCGCTGCAGTTCCTAACATCATTGAGAGGGATTTTTAAAAACAATTTTAAACATCAGTAATTTAAATTTCCCATTCATTGTAGGTCTGGTGCGCGCTTAGACATTCAACTGGACTTTAGCAGTCACTCCTAGTGAATATGTCGTGAAAGGCTAGCCCTATTTAGTGTTGGAAGGAAAAATCCACAATAACCGGAGCCTACAGCGCTGGTGCTAATGATTTAACATCCTTTTCAAGTGATCCAAAGTGTATACATATACATTTAGTATACATCCATAGGACTAAAACACCAAAATGCGCTAGCAAAGTTAATTCAGCCCGAATGCTACCGTTTAATAAAGAATGCGCGAACACCCTCGAAGATGTCAAAACTTTCAAAGCAACAAATGATAGAGGGATTGGAAAATTGATATAGTTCAGGGATATGGTTTCTTGAACCGTGCAGGGGGCTCTTAGACTCCATGTCAAACAAATTGTAACCGTTATTCCTTTTTTAGAAAAATGTTACAGCTTGAAAACATAACAGTGTATGTCTGTTGTTTGTCAAACCAGTTCATGCAAAGATTAAACCTGAAAATTCTTTTTTATCAGGTCAGTGGTTTCTGCAGTAGCTTATTAGAATTGCACAATACAAGAGTTATTGCTTTAACATTAAGGCAAAATTGTCAAAATGAGTTTTGTAAAAGTTTCGTTTTACACTGAGGTTTTAAGAACAATGAATACACTGCAGAAGGACAAAGGTTAGCACTGTGTTATCTTTTTCTCTTTCCTCAAGGTGTAGGTTAATGGGAAATAGATATGAGATATGATGCAATCGCAAAGTGGATGGTAGCACAGTGGGAGTAGATGAATTATATTTGCTATGAAATAGTAAATGAAATAATCATCAGTCATGTCTTGTCTACATTGCGTCCAAAATATTTGCAGAATACACATTATCTGTAATTCATAAAGCAAATTAATTTGGGGAAAAGGGCCAACAAATTAGACCCAGCATTCTGTTCAAAGTTAATGCCGTTCAACATTGTTTATAACAAATTGTTAAATTGTTATAAAAAAAAAGTTGAATCCTGCATTTTCAAAGATGTCAACAGATATAGGATAATGAAAAAAGAAAAAATCAGTCAGAGAAAAAAGGACTTGTGTTATTAGGAAGCAAAACAATAAAACTTGTTTGAACCTGACACTGGATATAAGTTTAATGCAACTGAGATAGTAGGAAATAAAAATGAAAATAATTTATTCCAACTACTCTAACTGTATCAGAAGGGAATTTAAACAATGTGCTTTTATATCCTCTGAAATTTAGAAATACAGCAGTCCATGTTGGGTCATGCACCCATGGGGAAGATTTATACAGTACAAAGCTCATTTGAAAATGTAGCTTAAAAACTATTGCATATATTCTGTTGATACATTACATTATTAATCAATGCATTCATATACCATACAGTATGTACCTGCCATGAATTCAGGAATTTCTAAGGATGCTCATTGCTTTCCATGTGACTGCCACTAAGAGTCAGGCCTAACAGTAATCCTGATCATAGGATTTCAATGATGAAGTACTGTATGAGCAGCTGGCTACATCAGGCTTTGTCTTTTTGCTTAGAAGAAGAATCTGCATGAACCTGACTGAATGTGACAGATGCCAAATAAGCAGAGTGTGTTATTCCTGTTGGGGAAAATTATAGTCAGTGAGAGAGAGTTGCTCATTAGCAGATCAGTCTTTCAGTTCTTCTCCCCTTCCTCGCCTCCTGATGGTAATGATTGTTTGATTTCTTCTGGACATTCTGTTTGAGCTCAGAGGAGGCATTTACTGTTGCCTTAGAGGAAAGTGATAAGCAGTTCTTCCTTGTGATGGATTGCACATCCAGGAGAGCTGCCAGGCTGTCTCAGAGCATTGACTTCGAGCCCAAGGAGGCGGCATTGCCGAGCTTATTGTTCAAATGAAGTTGGCCCTTATAGCAGCAAAGTGTATCAGATCTGGAACGTACTTGGACTGCAACTAGAAAGATCTAGAAGAAATAGGAAAAGACAACGATTGTATGTTAATCGCACAGCTATGGTGTGATTGACAGCTGGATAAAGTAACATTGCACGATTCCGATATTTTTACTGTAAGAAAAAAGAACAAGCATGCTCATGTAATATAGTGTATGCACAAAAGAAATGCTGCACTCAGATCTAATAGATTTACTCAAATATTCTAAAATGGCTTTCAAACAAAGCCACAGAATAAGTGAATAAAAATACAGATCACAGTCACATCATCTATAAAGAGTGAAATGTGATACACTGTGAAAATGAAACCCTTACCAAGTTACTTTCTGGCATGGAGTCCCTGAGCACAGACCTGTGTAACAGTGGCTCTGGACAGTCCTCTGTAGAGCGGGCATGCAGTCCTCCTGTGAAGCTGCAGCCAGCTGGTAAACGCTGGACAAGTCAAAGTTGCCTCCTGTTTTTTTCTGAACGAAATATCATTACATTTTTAAGTAAAAAAAACATAAACATTAAACAGAAGGGGGAAAATACCACAGGGGAGTACATAAAAATCAATATAGGGAAGGATATGGGCTAATTGTGTAATCTCATTTTTGAGGACGATGCCTACTTAGTCTCACAGATGTTCTGCACGGCTTAGTTCAACAGAAAAAAAGATGGCGAGCCCCCTGCGTTGTTACCCTGCCACTGTGCCCTTAATCCCATGTGTCTTGTTTTGGCCTGCTGCAAATCTGACACCTGCAAAGAGACTCCAGGACTTTGCCACCACACTGCCATTTCTGATCAGGTTTATATATATATTGGTAGCATTTTCTCTCTTTTCGTAAAAATGGTACATGCTACTGAAACAGAGCAACTGATCGGGTTGTTCTGATCAGGACACACCTGATACACCTCATCCTGGCTATGTGAATGCATGCAGATTAATGACTGATGTGCTTTATGGAACATATCTATTGTTTTGCTGGGACTGCAGGTATTACAGATTATAGCATCAGAGGAACAGGTGTGTGAAAACCTAAGTTTTAATTTACTATATTGTAGAACCATTCCTCTTTTCTGTTGACTGCTGCAGCGGATAATGTAGGACTGTATATAATCGAGTGAGATTAAAACTCCTGTGGAAACTGTGCTTGTGAAACTCAGAAGAGTAACTCAGGAAGTTATGCAGTTAAGGTGACATGTAAATGCAAAAGCCAGGTCAGAAATGCCAGTGCAAATGTGCTTATTGTAATGCTGAGTAGGGTTTCCCTCATTCTGCACAAAAGCCTTTGTGTTAAAGAAAATTCTTCCTCACATCTTCATGCTTTCAGATGCCTACTGGTTGGCTTGAACAGTGCCACAGGCAGAATGAAACTCACCATGCGTCTAAATGCATCATTTCTTTCCTCAGTCTGTGAAGGGCAAAACAGCATTTGTTGGCAAGTAAAAGACTCCACCACTCTCTCTGCCACCAACTCAGATGCTGTCTTGTTCTTGAAGGACATCAATTTCATCTCACAGCTATCAGCATGCTGCCATTGAACATGGAGATATTTTCATGTTGAGCAAGCCAAGTCTTTTTGCTGATGTGCAGATTACTTCTTCCATGAATTTCTGGCGCTGTAGACATTGACGTCCGGAAACAATTATGCAGATAGATCAAATTGACGTAATGGTGCTGAGGTGGCATGATTAGCCATGTTCTTTTTGCCTTTAGCACACGGCCTGTCCCTTACTGAGCCTATTTCCCTGTTTCTCTATTAGACTGCTCTTTGTTGGAGCAGAACATCTTATTCCCTGGGCAATATCTCTGACGGACAGACTTGCTACAAGCATGCTTATAGAAACGAGCTTATTTATTGCTCAAGATGGATGTGTATCTTCTCCTGCTATTTTATTAATTAAAAATGGTTTTAGGCAGGCTTATTTATCCAGGTTCTTAATCAACTAATTTTAGTAACTTTAATTCAAATACCAACCAATGGGTGATTGGCTTTTTTTGTGAAATCACATGACCTGGACCCAGTATTTTATTAGTTCGAGGAAATCTCATCCACCAGTTCTTTTCATAAAACTGGGATTTCATCTTCAACAACATGGCTGGGTACCACGTTCCATATTCCCACAACCCCTTGAGTGAAATAGTACCTACTATTCTCAGTTTTAAATGCAGTTCCACCGAGTTGTCAATGTGTTTCAATATACTGTATTTCCTTTAGATTGAAACTCTCTAGTTTTATTGTTAGTGATAGGATATGCTGTCTTATTACCTTGTTTGCAAAGCAGAATTAAAATTAATATTTAAGATTAATCGGGACTCCAGAACACTGCTTAGCAGAAAGACGTCTTGAAAACGGTGATCTATTAAAAGCATGACGTGCTGAAAAAAGGAGGTTTACTACAGCTCAATTATGAATTTTCAACACAGAAGCCGCTTTGAACAATATGCATGAAAGATCACCGGCAGAGATAATGAGGAGTAGAAAGTGTTCTTCAATCTAGAATTTAGACTTTGTAGTTTAGGTAAGTTTATTAAACAAGAATATTCTATAGTCCCACCTAAGGCGGCTGAGGGTACAAAACAGACGAGATATGAAGAATTAGACATTTCCGATTCAATACTACTTAATAGCCAGAATTAAGTTTAAAATTAAAAATGGATACTACTTAAAAGCCAAAATTTAAACTCTTTCTTACAATTTTTTAATTCTAAAATGTGTTTATAGGGAGAGTTCAGTTGTTGTTCCAGTTTGCCTGAAAGTACAATTTTAATATGTTGGGCAACCACTATGCAGGATGTTAAACTCAGTTACGTCCTGTAGAATAAAGGAGGTGATGTACACTATAACAGATGCTGCATAAACGAAAAGGGATTACAGAGTAAAAAGATCTTTCGATTATTTTGGCGTAGAAAAGACTGCGAATTCACGCATTTCAGTGCCCTGAGAAATATACTGTATATGACCCTGTACTGTATGTGCAAAAGTTGCTTTTTTGAAGACTTCTGCAGGAATTAATGTTTATACTGGGAATTTAACATCTGAGATTTTATCTGAACAGTAATCTCTTTGGTTGGCGAACACCTGCCGTGGCCATAAACTAGAAATTGTGTTTTTTTTTTTTAGTTCTGTTTATGGCCTTCCTGCAAATGCAGTGGATTATGCCATCCTCAATAGAGCACTTGTCTATTGTGCTGACAGATGATTCTCCTCTGCCTGCAGGGGGACCTGCAGAATCCCTGCCGCTGTGACGGGTCAGTGAGGTACACTCACCAGCAGTGTCTTCTGAAATGGATCAGCGAGAGGGGGTCCTGGACCTGTGAACTCTGCTGCTACAGATACCATGTGATAGCAATGAAATGGAAGAAGCCCTGTCAGGTACTGTACTCAGGAGAGACACTGTCTCATTTTCTACACGTACTGTATTCCAGCTGCAGGTCATGAGCATTACATTTCTCTATGAGCTTAAGGGAGATATAAATTGCTCTTAAAGTGATGGCATATGACTAGGTGATTCATGAGCAGGCTTTCATGAAATTAAAAAAAAGGCATTAAGAAGATATTTTTGTAAACAGGCCCCCAGTGACCAATGTTCTTATTAACAAATGGTTCTCATTTTGATTAACTGCATAAAGGTGTATGAACCTTATGCAGTAGGTGGCATTTATCAGTTCATTAAAAGCTGTCCAGCCAAAAGGCACTGGTGTATTTCTCAATGTAATCTTCCTTTGAGAGACAGAGAATCCTTATCTTCAGCTTCTTCTCAATACGCAGCTTAAAGAGGATAAAATATGTATTCGTAATTAAGCGTGCAACTTAAATCTTCGTTAATTAAGAGCACTGACATTAAAAAATTAAAAATGAGTCTCTTTCAAAAAGTAAAAAATAGGCTGATGGGAAAGAAATTATTTAAATAATATTCACGATGTGAAGAATCTGACAGCTGTAAAACTTTGAGGTGGAGAAAATGAATCTGCTCATTATTAGCATTATTTTGTGGATTGTCCCTTTAGAGTACTGGCAGTCTTACTGTGCTAGCATACTGTATACAATTCTTGGGGTTGGATGGCCACAACTTTGCCTCTGTCTGTATTTCCCTGGATTGTCCATCAACTGGAAATATATGGACACCATGAATATTTTAATGTTTTAAAACGTTGGTCCAGCTTATGAAGAGAATGGCCCTGTACCATGTTGTGTTTCCATTACATCAGTTCATTTTATTCATAGGCAAAACAATTATGCTTTTTACTTGCCCATTTTGCTGAAAAGTGGAGGAGATGAGGTATTGTATTGAACATACAGACCATACAGATGTGATTGGAAAGAATGGGTCTGATTGGTTACTGGCACAGTCCACAGGGGTGATATGCACACTGCAAGTGAGTGTAGTGCTGGGGGTGAGATCCTTCATTAATCAGGGCTAGGGAGACTAAGTCACTGAAGGGCGTGTTCAAAGGAAAAGGCATGCACACTGCAAAGGGACAGCATCGGTCTGGGTTTGATCCATTGGGCTTCTTGAGGCTCCTCAATTCAATTAGTGCAGCAGTTCCCTCAGTTCTCTACTTGAACTGCTGTGCAGTGGAGTTGCTGGATGCCGCATGTCACCCGGCTTGGGACTATACTTCAATGGTGGATGGAGCGACTCTCTTGTATGCGAAAAATACTTTGGGATGAAAAGTATAAATATAAATGCTATATAAGTATATAAATGCTAGAAATTATGCTGTGGAAAAATACTCTTTAAATTTGGTGCATGATTGTCTTTGTTAATCATCATACAGTAACTACTTTACTGGATGGTGAATTCCAGGTGGTTATTTTGTTTATTATGAAGACTGCATATCTTACTACCCGACCACTTGAAGTGTCGATTCTAGCCTCATTCTGAATGGACAGGCACACTGACAGGGTGACTTATGTAGCTTTTTGCTCCAGTTCCACACTTGCTCCACTTTTTCTGCCTGCAAATAATTGATTTGGCACACAATCAACTAACATGGATCGCTGGAAATATAATTCAAATCCATCTGACTCATTGTTCTTCTGCCCACTCCTCTGGAGGTTGTCTGCTGGGATTCAGCGCACAATAGAGCTAGACAGGAAAACAATTGCCCACAGCGCACACACGTTATGAATAACATCACGGCACTTAGAGGGGTTTACTGAGTATTTGTCCCTCTTTTCCACATACAGTATGTGGCAGGTTACATTTGAACCTTTTGTATATTATAATTACTTCAACACCAGGAATCTCAATCAGTCTAAAAAATCATGAGCCTTATAAAACTTATATGCTACACACCAGTTTGCTTTGTTTCCCTAAGATAAATATTTCCAGACCAGTTTATAAAGTACTTACAGGTGACCAGTCTTCTGAATTCTGATCTTTCATGTTTTTGGAATTACCAAGAAGAGGTCAGAAGTAAAAAAAAATGCTGCACAAATTGATCTTTGTCCATTTGTGCCTTTTACAGTGGCAGCCCATCACCATCACGCTGGTGGAAAAAGTACAGATCATTGCTGTGTTCCTGGGCTCTCTTTTCCTGGTGGCCAGTGTCTCCTGGCTTCTGTGGTCAGCCTTCAGCCCCAATGCCATCTGGCAGCGCAGAGACATCCTTTTCCAGATCTGTTATGGGATGTACGGCTTTATGGATTTGGTGTGCATTGGTAAGAGGAGAAACAAGAGCTGAACAATAACACCATCACATATACGGCTTAAAAAAAGGTTTAATTCTGAGTCTGCAGGCAGGTTAGACTTCAACTAGCTTTAAATTCCCAGTGAACCAAATATAAGAAAATTGATATGAACATGAGTATAGATAGCTGGAGATCTAGATTCTGCAAATGCATAAGCCCGTGTTTTGCAGGTGCTTGTAATGCTTATTGAGTAAACTCAAACACAATATTTTAGATTGCTTCATTTCTCATTTATGCTTTGTGTATAGCCAGAGTTTGAGTAAGAAACAAAGAAACACCTAGAAGACAGTGATTTCACCTGCATAATTTATGCAATGCAGACTAGACGTCGTTACAACAACATCGGTCTTTGACTTTTCCTTTTGCATTGAACTCAACTTTTAAGTTACATTTGCAGGTAGCTAAAGCAAGGAAATCCCTCGAACAATTATTAACCAGGGGGGGAAAAAAAGACAAGCTAAAACACTGAAACCAATAAGGGTGAACGAGTTAAAAGTTTAAATCTTTGCGAAGAACAAATAAGAGCAAACACACTGATCTCTTTCAGGTTTGATTATTCATGAAGGGGCGGCAGTGCATAAAGTCTTCAAGCGCTGGCGAGCCGTTAATCTGCACTGGGACGTGCAGAATTACGATAAGACTGCCGATGTCGAGGAGAGCAGCAGTACCGGGGAGTCGTCGGCCAGCCGGACCCTCTGGCTGCCCCTCACCACGTTCCGAGCGAGGGACTCCCTGCACCCCACCCGAATCGGGGCCCACCGCTCTCACTGTGGCTACGCGTTACTGTGGCTGTGTGCCAGGCTGACGACCGAGGAGGACGTCGGCGAAGACAACAGCTCCGGGGAGGTGGTGATAAGAGTGACCTCGGTCTAGAGGTCATCCTCCTTTGATTCCCTTCAACTGTGACTGCCTCCATCAGTGGCCTAACGTGACGTGTAATGGCGTTATCCTGCCAGCGGGTCAAAGCGCTGCCGAGCTGAAGGTTATGTAGCACTTGGAGGTTGTGGTGGGGTGTGAAAGCTAATATGTTTTATAGAAAATTATACTCTTTTTTTATATTGCTACTGAATGTAAAATAAATTTGATAGATAAACAAACATATGTAATATAATTCACAGTACGTTTAAATTGTGTAGCCTCCCAAGTGGGGTCTTATACTTTTTTTTAAGTATATGAGCAGAGGTCCTTTGGTTCAACAAAAGTGCAATGAGGATTTAAACTGTGACAGATTGGTCCTAAATAATCCCTTTTGGTGCTTTACATAGTTTAACGATAGTATATTTCAGTCATTTACATTGGGGCAACTTCTTGTTCCTCTGACGTGCTTTGGAGCAAGTTCCACACACTATACAATATTGTGTATCTATTGTAGGTACACAGAACCAGTAATCTAGTCTTGTGGTCTCAGTTCTTTTATTACAACATGTTCCTCAACAGAAGAGTTCATTTCGAAATTTCATCAGCCTTTCCCAAACCAAGTACAACAAAGACATGTTGCAATGATAGCTGTGTTTGAAATTGTGTCAAAGATTCAAGAGATGAAAGTAGGAGAATGTCAGAGTATGGTTCCCTAATAAAGTAATTGCTTCAACACTGCCAATTCTTTGTTAATCCACACCTAATGTCTTATTCAAAGCTTTACTCTCAAGCATTAACCCTTACAGTACTTGTAAATCCCTTCTTGTGGTTGAAAAAAACATTGTTCAAAATAGAATCTAAATTTATTTTGCTGTGTCACAAAAGCTCCAGCCCATAAGTAACAGATAACAGATAAGCTACTAAAATGACCAATTTACTTTAACATTTTTTTTTGTATGGATCTAGTGCAAATAAACCTGGTTAAAGGTCAGTGTACACTGTTAAAGAGATAAGGAACAGTATTTCCCATTTGGTTAAATGTAAAAAATGTTTCAAAAGTGCCAATGGGATTGTTTTGTCTAAACAGTAACAGCAAAAACATTTCTTCAACAATCAATGATAACATCAATGTTGAAGTAAATCAACAATCAATTCAGCAAGTATATATTTTTTTCCCGTCACTTCACTTACACAATTTTGCTTCAAGTTAAAAAGAAATACTAATCGCTGCCCTTGATGACACTGGAAATAAATGTTTTAATGTGAAAGACTGTTCTTGACATTGACTGTGCAGTGGGTTTGTTCACTGTATTCTAAAAATGTATCAGTTCCTGAGGAAGTGCCTAGCCTGATTATCATTTGAGTAGTGGTATACAGTATAATTCATCTATAACTAGCACTTACGTGTCTTACATTTGTGTCTTTCTCTGAAGTGTTACCAATATTTCGATTATATAGAGGGGGGGTAAAGAAATATCCCAAATTAGCAAATAGAAGCAGTGTTGGGAAAATAATTGTATAATGTATTTTTTTAAATAATACATTACAGTTGCAAATTAAGAGCAAGGGAAACTATGACAATATTGGGGGAGAATCATTTTAAAAAGTCAGCAGTTACAGTTAATTTATGTAGTGTGTATATAGTTGCTATGTAAAGTAATACATTTCCCCTTAAAAACAACTTTTCTTACCTTGTTATTAATTAAAAAAACTATTACCTTATACAAATTACTTGCAACTGCAATTTTTTAAAAAGGAATTATCCCCCATGATAGAAGTACTAAAAGGGTATGGAGCAAATTATAGGATTTAAAAACATAAAATAAAGACAAGCAGAAACACTTTTGAGAAATGTACTTACAATATGTAATTTAACTTTGTCATTTTTCATCTAAATACAATACACATCCATGAGTGGTATGCTGTTGCTTTGTAAGGCAAACCTATAAAAGAAGAAAAATGTCACCACTTTTGATAGAAATTTTGTCTGTAACCCAGGAACTGTTGAACCTATTCCTAAAATTAAATGCATAAAGATGAATCTATGCAAATGATGTTTTTAACAAAAATACTCATTTCTGTGTTGTATTGGTGATATAAACACTTAAAGGCCTCACAAGTACATTTTCAACAAAAGCTTAAAGTCATTACTTACTGTAATTACAAATAAGCAGATCTAAGATGCTGTGTTCTTGTCTATTTTCTCACATTCTGAATCACTGTATAATTCATTTATGCAAATCTGCCATCTCTTCGTTAGTATCAACCACCTTCAAAAGAGAAAAGTCTTAGGACTGGAGTCAGTGATGTAATCTGGCTGCATAGTTCAGTATGAACTGTGTGAGAGAAGCATGTTCACCCAAACAGGAGCCTCATAATGTGAGGTACTGCAGCACATGAACAATTTTGAAATTCCTGAAGTAGACTACATACTGTAACAGACGTGCATTTCTTGAAAATGTTTTTAAGGACTTTTTCTGTAAATGCTGCCACCTACATTAACTGGAGATCTTGTTTCTAATTAGTAGTCAAGTTACAAAACAAGTGCGTTCCCTTTCCAAATTGATTCTGGGCCATATTTATCACAGTCTTTCCACCATGCTGAGCTTACTGCACTCCAAATGTTAACTCCACATGTTACAAAAGCAGAAAGAAATATTTATCTGCCTGCAGAACTCTTGAATTAACACCTTAAAAGAGACAACCTTTACTGTTTTGTTTTCTTACTAGGCAGATACAAATTACGACTTAAAAACTGTATGAATGCAGCCCTTTATATCTTATGTTTATCTTCTAGGTTTTACACTGCTGGGGTTTGTACTTAAGGCTCAGGTAAAGCACTGATGTATGCAACAATACTGTACTGTTCGATCACTATCAAAAGTCAGAACTATATTGATCTTTTTTATAACTGTAAATGCTTTTAAGGTAGGAACATCTTGCCTGAGTACAGAGTTCCCCTGCTGTCCTTCCAGTTTAACTAAAAAAAATGTGTGCAGTTCTGACTAAAGCAACGATTTGAGTTGTACGTTATAAGGCTATAAACTGGTGCATTTTGTAATCAATTAAATTATTTTAGTGCTTAAAACTGTTCACTATATTATAGAGCTCCACATGCACTTACTGTACACCTTCAAGTTGATTGGATCTTTTTTTGGAAAACAATGTACACAAAGTAGAGCAGAGGACATCATTCCAATCTTAGTAATTTTCTTGTAAAGTAAGCTATCTAGTGAAAATAACAGAAGTCTGAGGGGAACTGCTGCTGAAATTTCTCATATTGTGTTTTAAACATTAACTGTACATTTTTTTTACTTTACAGTTTGTACAAGTAAAAAAACATTAATTGAAGATAAATATGCATTTAATGGCTTGTTAAGGACATGTTCTTTAACAATATAACACAGATAATACATGTAATAGTCATTGCTGTCATTTACAGTATATTGCTGATGTTACTCTTCTAAAGCAGATGAAACTTTCTTTTCAGTTAAAGAGAGGAGCTACGTAGTTTCTGAATAATTGCCTCGAATCACAGTTCAGCTAAATTTTCTGTCTAGAAATATACAACCATTGATTATATAAAACTTTAAAACAAATATAGCTTACAAAGTAAGTGTACATATTTTACAAAAAAAGGCACAGGATAAACAATAGATATCCTTAGCTTCTTTGGGGAAAAGGCTGCCAGCAGCCCTCTACTGAAATGTTACCAACAGGGTGAGGAATACAGCACCTTTTCAATCACTACCACATGGAGCACTTGGCTTGCAAATCAGAAGTCTTTCACTTAAATTTGTAAGTGCTCAAGAAAAGAGCTTCTCTCCTCCACTGAGAGAATTAAGCATACAATGTTTAGATAGACAAATAAGGCACTTTTGTAACGGCTACATTGCTGGCAATGTTGGATTCTCACAATTCTTCAGAAATTAGTAAAGCTTTGGAACATAATACATTTTTTAACATTTCTTAGACTTCCACAGACATAACTTTAAGACAGACAATGCAGTGTGTCAGGCACCTTGGAAAATGGTTTCTCCTCTCCATCTGACTGTCAATCTGTGGACATTCTGCTGGCTGAGATACTGTCAAACTAGACTTTCCTGTTATACAAACAACCGTGTCACACGCAAAACATTAGCCTTTCTTTCCATTTCTTCAGTAATTTGAAGTGGAATAGTGCCATAAAGCCAGCAGCTTACATACTGTAGGTGAGAAATCAAAAGACTTCACAGTTACCCTAGTTTTTTTAATAACATAGGTCTAAATACCTTAGTTCTGTATTAAATTAACTCTGATTAAAAAAGGTATTGCCAGTACGTGTCCAGAAATAGGCTGTGTTTTTGATGCACAGTTTGCACAGTTTTGCATGAGGCCTGAGGAAGGATAGCAGAAGAGGGGCAGCCACTGCACCAGTTCTCCCCTAGAAAGCAAGGTCAGGCAGGTCAAAGTGCATCTTCATCTGCTGCTGCACTGGCTGCCCTGGCTGCTGACTGATCGGGTCGTGCTGTAGCGCTTCTTCACAATCATGCTGATGTAGGCCTTCATCAGCTTGGCAACATCGACCACCTGCAAGCACACCACAGGACACTGTCAGTGGTCAAAGCGGGCTTCCCCCTGCTCTGAATAGCTTCTTACTTTTACTACGCAGTAATGGAACCTGCTGGAGGCTGATGCACCTTTGCCGACCATGAAGGTATATTCAATTGTCTTAATATAACAGGAGAGAAAAACAGTATGATCATTCTTAAAATGATTAACTGGCTTGAAGATGTGGATAGACTACTCTCACCAGGACTCCGGGTGTACTGCTTTATCCTTTTAGAGTTATGGGGTGTAATTGAGAAAGGGAAGCTTGCATTATAAATGTGAGAAGCAATGTCTGTGATGGGAATCTTGCTTATTTAAAGCCCCTTTGACAATCCAACACGATTCCCCCAGTTTTCATACAAGTGGCACTCAAGAGGAAGGTATTCATTTCAACGATGCACAGCGGTAAAATCTGGTTTGCATTGCATCTCAGGATTCACTGGTACCCTTGCAGGACTCGACTCGCAACATGAAATTGCATTTTGAACAATTACATGTACAACTTGGAAGATCGCAAAAACACTCTTACAGAACAAGCAAAAAAGTCTGAGCTACAGTACAGAGGCGAGTGACTCACGTACCTGGCTAGTTTCGAAAAGAAGCTCTCTGTCCTCCACTGCGATTTTATACATGTTTGGAAGTGGAGCTCCAAAAGATAAGATGTGTTCATACTGGAAGACTTCCAGAGGCCTGGGTTCCCCACGCTTGTACAAAGAGATGGCTTCTGCACTGACTCCCAGCCACAACTCCGATGGAAATCCACCTTCCCTGGACTGGAGAGAAGTAACAGTTCCATTGGTAATAATCACTTAAAGAAGGAAACTAATGCTTACATATACAATAAACTGAAATTAACTGCCTGATCAACTCTGAAAACTGCAACATTTATAGAAAACAAGCACTCCTTACATTATTTTACATATAGTTTGACGGGGGAAGAAGTAATCAGTTTGGAGACCAGTAGAAAATAAAAAAGGATGACTGAGGTGATTTCTGAAAAAAAGCACCTTTGTTGTCTTGTTTTCTTGGTGACATCAGCTGTCATGATATATCAGCTCTCTTTACAGAGACAATCTAAAATTTGAGTGTAATACCCTGCATTACACGCATATACACTCATACCCTATACCTAGGTCAATTTAAATAAGTTTCATTTAAGTTTTAAATAAGCAATAAAATGTAACAGGATGTTGGTAATACTAGAATAACTGCCTGATCAGCAATATTGTATCACTAAAAATTCATTACTACGACATAATTAATCTAAAACGAAATACAACTTAATTTTATCATTTCACTGTTGGCAAAAAGTACCAAAAATCAAATGACAAACTGATGCAATAATAATTAAGTAACTGATTTATTTAGCTTTCCTGGGAAATATATATGGCTTGTTTAAATTCAATGGGCAGTTGCAAAGACGTGACACATTGTTCTGTTGGTGGCACTGATTTCTCAGCAGCGTGACCTATTTAAAATTCTCGAAATTTAAGTAGCTGTGATATTCATGTATTACAACTGTCAGTGGCTCGGAATTAGTTTTACCTGTGGTGACACTAATTATGCAATAGTTCAGTAACATCATTAGCCACACAGTAGGGAGATATTTCTTGATATGTTTCATACTGAACAGCAGTTTCTTAATAATTTTTTTTCAATTTGCATTACTGCTTGCAGTACCATGATGCCTTTCATTCCACAAGATCGCAGAGTGGACCCCAATTAGGAAGAGACCTACTCCACTCTCCACTGAAGTGTGGCCACTCAACACCAGCAGACGCACCGCAGAGCATGTCAGGCAGAGGAGTGAGGGATTATTTCACGAGCTGCGTTAGCTGCCAGATTGTGCAAAGCCAGAGTGGAAATCAGCCAGCACACTGGGGTTTACACCTCTGGTCTGCTGAAAAGTGCCATGGCATCTTTACTGACCAGGTCGTCTGAATCTTGCTTTGACAGCTCATCCGTGGGACAGCATCTCCTACAGCACGGTGTCCCTGATCTCCAGATGGATAAACGGGTTTCCTTCACTAACTGCGGAGAGTTGCTCGTGCACATTTTCTGTATCGAGTGCGGTGGGGAACCAACAGTGGGGAAAAGCTCGCATGCAGTGGCCCATGCGCTTTATTTCAATGCACCTCTTAAGTGTGTTCAGCTCTTCTGCTATTTTGACGTCTGTCAATTACATTTCAATACTTTCACGTTACATCACTTTCATTCCTTTGATATTCACGTTTTTATCATTGCAATTTCTAAGGCAGAAGTGAGAGTCCCGTCAGCCATTGATGAGTGGACCACGGATCGCAGGAAGCTAACCCTATGTTTCCCTTATTCTCAAGTACTGACCTACCGTCTTCTTGAAGACTGTGGGGGCTGGCAGGAACATAACCCCCACAGGTGGGCGGGCGAAACCTGAATTGATAATTGTCGACGGGGGTTGGGGGTGGGGGGTTTACGCTTACCTCCACCTCAAACAGAGTGGATCCATAACCGGGCCACTCCTTCACCAGGGCCATGTACTTCACCATGGCTTGCTCCTGGGTCATGGACTGGAGCTTCTTCCACTTCTCGAGGACGTTGGTGCGGGCCGCGACGATCTCCTCCTTCACCCACATCTCCAGCATCTGCTCCTCCTCCAGCCTCTGCCTGCTGACCGAGCCGCTCCGGAAACTCCTGCGCAGGGTGCCCTCCAGGAAGCTGGCCCGCTTCTTCTCTGCCCGCTCGGCCGCCGGGGCGAAGGTCTTGGTGGACTGGTGGATGCGCGCCCGCAGCCGGCTCATGGGGTAGACCTGCTCCATCTCGGGGACGGAGGCCTGCGCGTTGAAGTCCCCCAGCAGGTACTGCAGCCGCAGGGCCGCCAGGAACTGGAGGGTCTCCTCGGGGGCCGGGTAGTGGCCTCGAATGACCGCTTCGTGGGCCTGCGAGACGACGGGCAGGGAAAAACAGTTCTTTCAGGGAGACGCACGTATGCATTGCATGGCTCGGAAAAATAGACACATGGGTAGGGAAGATATGATTGTCACATACATTCAGAAACAGCTACCTGAGATTCGATCTGGTGACCTGGGCAGTATGGGATAAGGCATTTCCCATAGGGGTTTTCACTATCTGAAGACCCATCAGACAAATTTACTCATCATCCTAACCACTCTTCTCCATTACAGACTTAACTGTACCGGAATGATGGAGAAAAAAACCTTTAGGTGCTATCAGATCACATGCAGGACCCATATCTAAAACACCATCTCAGACTCCAAGTGCTCAAGATACATCGAGATCCACTGAATGACTGTAGGTCTGGCTGCATTGAACATTAGAAATTTTATACTGTACATCTGTACCTCTAGGTAACATCATCTTTTATGTTTTATTTTTATTGTTCATTCTTGCAAAAGAAGGCACAGTTTTGTTATGGTAAAGATAGAGTCAGTTCATTGTTTATTGTAACTAAAGAGTGGGTGGAATGGTGGCATGGGGTGCTGTCTGCATGGAGTTTGAATGTTCACACTGTATTTGTGTGGGTCTCCTCCCACAGTCCGAAGACATACTGGCGGGTTAATTGGCTTCTGGGAGTGTTAGTGTGTGTGTTTGTGTGTGCCCTGCGATGGACTGGCGTCCTGTCCAGGGTGTACCCGTTGCTTGCTAGGATAGGCTCCGGTTCCACAGTGACCCAGAATTGGATGAACCAGTTAAGAAAATGGCTGGATGGGATGTAACAAAAGAGTTTATACAAAATGTTTTTATTCACTTCACATGAACTGACTGTAAAACCAACATTTCATTATTTTGCATTCATTTTTTTTATTTTCTAGATGTTTGGTTTTCCAAGAGTGGAAGAAATAAAGGCCTCCATAGTAAAAAAAAAAGGCAGTAATTTGGCTTTGTGAAATGTCTCTTTTAACTAAGTTCTTTTCTTACCTGTTCAAACATGAATGCAAATTCCACACTGTCTTTAGGCACATTATCCGTATCCAAGAAGCAGTAGAGTTTGAAATAAAATTTCCAACCCTTGTTACTTTCTTCCTGGTTTCCTGAAAGCCTAAAAATATAGAAACACAGAATCCACATATAAATAACTGAATATATTTTTGCAATGTTATTCTGTACGTTATAAGGCAGAGGTAATATGCAGTGCAACTTCCTTTCAATCAAAATATATCAAGGCAATAAATAATCTGAAAAAGTTATTTTTTTTTTCATTTTCAACACAGCTGACAAAGCTAAAGGAGCAGTCAGCGGGTAAATGAAAATACAACTAAAGAAAATGAAATGTGACATCACACTAGTAAAATCTCCTCTGTGTTAGGAAAGCAGATGGCTGAGAGTATGAACATGGAATAGCACTTTGTATTGTGATACTGAGACATAATAAAATAAGGATTGTCTCAGTTAATATCTTTTGAAGTTAGAGTTTTTCACATACAGTATATAGTATGTTTTGGGTGCTCTGTGGCACGTGTATCTTTTGTATAAACATGCAGTGTATCTTATATACAATCAAGCATTCCAACTGTAAAGGAAACCATTGAGAAGGGAAAAAACGATGTTGTATGCATCTATTAAAAGGGGAATTGGAATTAGGCTATATACTGTAGACGAAACCTGAAAATAAAAATCATTAACCTTAAGAAATGGAATAGCCTTAAATACTGCAGTCTACCAAATGGGGCTCATTACTGACTAAAAAAAATATTTCTGGATAAAAATACGTCTGAATCAATAGGATTATTTCAGATCGACCACATGTACAGTATCTCACTTAATAAATATCAGTACACATAAGAAATAATGCTTTAAAAAGTTCTTGAGATTATTTTTGATGAGATAAAATTACTTTCCAAGGTAGAAGGCTAGGATTTACTTTTTCACCATAAACCATATACCGAGCTGACAACTTCTCGCGCACAATCTTAAGTATATTTACTTTTCAAATTTGGACAGGACATCGGCAACAACAGTCCTGCTCTCAATGGCCTTGTCGATAGTGGCATTGTGCTCAAACAGAGCAAACATGTTCCTGCTGTCTTCCATCGCCAAACCGCGGATAAGCTTCTCCACCACCTGCCAGGGAGAATCGTGTTATGAAGCAGAAAGCAAACTTTTTCAAACACAACACTCTCATTATAGCTGCACTTTCACAGAGGTGATTAAATCTAAAGGCAGAAGTCACACATTGACTGTACCAGAATGATCGCATAGAGAAAGCTGCTCAGACAGAATTTCAATCTGCAGGAATATTTTTCTCTTAGAAAAGCAATGCACCTTTTTTTTTATTTCAAACTAATCCGTCTTCTAATACTGACACTAATCCCCCAGCTGTCCTTTATCCCATCCAAACCAGTTACCAGCAATTTTTTTTTCTAAAGCAAAAAAGAAAAAAAACCTCTAAAAATCTCTTGCCCTTAAATTTTATCTGAAACCACAATTCTTCATCCATTCAAGCGTTTCTGTCTCTGTTTATTTCTTTGTATAGAATTCAACATCTCAAAAAATAGACAGAACAGGCATCTACTGTACATAAAATCAACATTACTGTTAATTTGAGGATTACCTGCTATGCTCCTAATATTTCCCGCTAATGAACATACAAAAAAAATCCTTTTATTTTCTCAGGTATGATATGGATTGAGAAGAAAATGATCAAAGCAGGTCTCAGAAAGCACCCTATATCCACATGTCAGAGATGCCTCCTTTTCCACCAGTCTCTGTTTCCAGGTTATCCAGCAAGCTGATATTTCCATTAATCACTAAATACCTCTGAAGTGCATTTCACCAGGAGAATGCCAGGTAGAGAAGCTGTTCAATTTTTCTTCAAGTTACTAAGAATACATTACCCATTTTGTAAGGTAAGGAATCAAATTAAGTTTTTTTTCCCCCTGAATCAGAGTATTCCTTTTTTAAGAGATATATTAAAATGAAAAAAAAAAGACTCATGAAAAGATGGATGGGAAAAGGTGCTTTGGGTGAGAAAAGGTGCAGACACGCTAGTAAATGCCAGAAAAAGTACAAATCATCAACAAAAGTGACATAAAGTGTCCTCTTTGGTCTGAGGTTGTACACACAAACAGAGCCAAACTGCTAGGAGAGGCCTGCAGAGCTACATACTGATAAATGACTTCTGTATTGATCTCCGACAGCCCGTGCTCAGGCAATTGATTCTCCTGGCAATGACTCTCGCCTTGCCTCACCTCTCCAGCAGTAGTGTGGGAGTTGATGGTGATCTTGCAGGAGCCTCCTCCATGGCAGTACACAGTGGTCGTCATTTCCTGCCTGCTGATGATAGCTTTTATTTCCTCCTGGGATGGCACAAACTCCCGCGTCTTGGTCTTTTTCAGAGACTCGTAAGTGAAGGCTGCATACTTTTCCATGTCTGTCCCCGGGAAGAGCTCCCGAGTCCTGTCAAGTAACAATAGATATTCTGTTGTTGAACAAATTCCTAATCTACTGTATGTGGTTGATGCAAACTCTTTCATGGGATTCTTGGATGAATTTGTGTACAATCCATTGGTACCTTCTTTTTATCATCTTCTTCTGTTCTATACATTTTATGGAAAAATTAAACTGGCAAAACACTCGAAGTCTAAATGATTTTTCTCAACAGAATATTGTCGACCCATCTGGGGCTCTGAAAAACACCCCTACCAACTCTTTAAAAGACAGCGAATTTCCAGAACATAATGTGCTGACATGTCAATATCTGAAGCAAAGCATCTTCAGTTGCACGACGGCTTAGTTTGCAACAAGCGTCTTTTTTTTTTTTAAACATCCCCATTCATCTTCACCAGATTCTCCCGGGACGCCCCCCTACCTCTTAAGGTGGAACTTGAGGTACTTGAGGATGCCCCGCGAGGGGGTAAAGGTGCAGCTCATGCAGGCCAGGATGTGCCAGGCGCGCAGGTTGCCCACGCCCCCAGGCTGGGCCGGCCGGGTGGTCTGCTTGATCAGCTGGCAGTACAGCTCGTCCCGGAGGGGCCGCAGGTCGTGGCCGGTCTGCAGGATGCCCTGAGTGATGGGGATGGGGTCTCCAGCCGACTCCAGGTGCTGCAGGGAGTTGAAGACTTTGACAGCCTCGTCCTGGAGCGTGGTGTAGCCCTTGTCTTGCAGCACTGCGGAGGGGATTTTTTGGGAAGAGGTCAGATGTGTGTGCCTCTGCAGATTAACACTTTTGTCCACCACCCAGGCAGCTGCACTTCATCCCTATCCTCCATGTTTCTAGACATGTATTAAGTAATACATAAGTACATACAGATGCACAAGATACTGCCACCCGTAATCTGAACCACAGCTGTTCACGAATTCACTTTGTTAAATGTTGATCGCTCAAACTATGATCATCTGTTGATTACATACAGTACTGCAACACAGTACAGTACCTTTGAAGATTGATGTACCCTATTGAACCGTAGTAAAGAGTAGTCCATATAAATAAGCTCAGTTCAGAATTGGGTGTTAATACTTTCTGTACATCGGGAGAGTCACAGACAAAAGTATACAGTAGGTGGGGTGCCGGGAAAAGTAGTTCCACTCCTTGTTCCAACAGACAACAGAGTTACAAAGCTAGATTTTTATGATATTATTGCAAATACAGTAATCAATAAAATAAGAAGCAAAGGCTCTAATGGCTCCTTACAATATGAGTTTGCCTTCTCTATGAATTTGATTGTAATGTTGTGAGGCATTTGTGTTTATAGACTTTATCTTCAAAATTAGTTTTTCATGAGGAATTCAAAAACACCAGACAGAGAAAGGACCGATAACACCACTGTAACTTGTTTTCCACTGTTGTTTGAGAAGCGACTCACAGTTTAAGCTGATGTCCCCATACGGGAGTGGCAGGAGTGGTGAGTGGAGAGGATGGTGAGTGTAGCGGAGGATGGGGTTCCTCTTGTATATCTGCTCAACTACATCCGCATTCAAGCAGTTCTCCTGAAAGAAGGAAACATAGGGTGACCGTCAACAGAGTGCGCATGGAGCCAGGGCTTAAAAATTCACAGGACAGATTCCAAATGTTCTTTTTTCCTACAGACGCAAATTCTGCAACCCTGTACTGGAAGGCAGGTTTGAGTGTTTCATGGTTCCGAATGTAGGAGAAGACTATTTACAATGCAAACACCTTAATTATGAAAATACGTTTGAATCCTCTCTTTTTCAAATCTTTACCATTCATTTAGGTTTTTTAGGGAAATTATATACAGAAACCCGCACTTTCTCAGACCTATTTAAAATCTTGGTGACGAAATAAATTAACTGATAGTGTAGAGACATTTCACAAATTTTGAATTAAGCGCAAAATCGCGAAACTTTTGTGAAAGAAACAGAAGATGCCATGCTGTAGCAAACCCCTGGTCTCGCCACAGACGAGAGAGAGAGTTCCCACAAATTGTGACGTGATGTGGCCCTTCCTGCTCACTAGTCACTGTAATTACTAATGTGATGTATGAGCGAATAAGTACAGATTGTGCAGCAGATATTTCACAACAGTTTCCAACGTGATCCGCATGCACACTTAACAAGTAAGCCTTGAGGTTGAGAGCAATATTTCTATTAGATTTAAAAAGATGATTTAAAAAGCATGCTTGTTTACAATGTAACAGGTCTGTTTCACCTCACCAGAAGCTGAGTTGAGAATATGGCGCAGCGCATACCTGGAAATTGTGTCTATTTCGTGATGTAAATTAGAGGTTTTACAAGTCACTGCGTACATTTTACTTTCCACTGTGTGGTTTGAAATGCACTCATCAGTGCTGATTCTTTCTAATCCCGAAATATAAAAAGAGCATTGCAGTTCCCCTTTAAATGAAACACTGCCTGCCAACATTTGCATTTTACTGCCTGGATACAAATGTACTTCACAGGGCAACACATTGAAGACCATGAAGAATGAATGACTGCACCAAGAAAAATGCAGTATACTTAATACTTTTTAGGAATGTGTGACGTAACAGGGAAAAAAATTGACAAAGGACACATTGTCATGATAAAAGTACACATGCTGTTTCTTATGACTATAGCACACCAAGATACAGTATCGCCCTTCAAGTGAAGACTTCCATGTCCTGTTCTCAGACTGATTCCTCACCTTTATGTCTTGAATGAGCTGCTGTGTAGGAGTATCAATGGGAGCTTTGGTATCGATGACATTCTGGATAGTGCTGGACCAGCGCGTAGCCTCATTCAGAAGTTTGGTGTACAGACGATAGCAGTGCTTACGGCCGTACACCGTCACATTCCAATAGCCTGAGCAACAAGCGGAAATGGGGGAACAGAAGGATGTTTCATTTACACAGCAGTTCTGGTTTTTAAAGTAAAGTAATGTCCTTTAGTATAAATAAACAGTCCTGTGTTCTCATGAGGAAAAAAATCATAATGGTTTCTCTAATTAATCTCAGGTTTCTGGTCCCTAACCCCAAAGTGTATTGGGGACCTCCCTGTATATCCTTTCTACAAAGAAAACAGCAAATCTTAGTTGGCTAGGTGGGAAAATGCTTCTTCACAGAGATTTTTGGTAACATGCCCTGAATATTTACACATTCATGTGAAATCTCTAGCCTATATGCAGCTTTACTAAGGATCTTGTAATTGGTTGCTTTGAGACACACACACACACAAAAAACTATGCTAAAGATTTCCTGATAGTCCTCAAAATTAAGGGTACTGTATATTGTCTGCATTAAAAACTGACAGATTTGAAAATCACAAACTACTGTATCTCTCTCTCTGTTTTTCAAAGTTTTTTGATTCACTAGGATTTTCAGGACAACTATAGTAAGCGAGGACAAGAGAATCCAGTCAGAGGTTCTCCTTACATACTGTGGTAAAGACGCACACATGTTAAGCAGATCTCTTTCACAAACCTGTTTCTTTGAAGACCTTTTCGTCGGGTGGGACCACAGAGCAGAGGCTGTTAAGAACCAGGGTTCCTAGCTTTACTGCGTTTCTCTCCGAGCTCTTGTAGTAGTCCAGAGAATTGTGTGTCAGCAGAAACCAACGTTTTTTTAGTTTCAGTGAGGCCTTTGTACTGTTCTTCATCTCCTTGTGGAGCCATCCTGTGGAAAAAACGCACACGCGTGTGAGCCTAGCCAGAAAACCCACCAGCATTTAAGTGTAACCTTTCCTGAGAGCATACAGGAAAGGGACATTTATTAATAGAGGACACTAATACTACCAATGTATTTTACCAATGCAAAACAATACTTTATTAGATTCCTCTTTTTTTAAGAAGCATAAATGAGCAGTGTGACAGGGACAGTCTGACCTTAAAATGTTCATTATTATGATTATAAATGTTGAAACTTTATGCAAAAATCCATCAGACTAGTAAATAACAAACTATTCTGTATTGCAAGTTAGCCACGTCCTCTAAGGGAACACAGTTCTTTGAAAAATTTAAATGAAATTTTCAAACCTCAATACCACACTCTTGAAAGCTAAACATTTTTAGAGATTTTAGAGAAGTGTGACAAAAGGATGGACCAGGCTGAAAAAGCAGCGTAGGCTCCATGCTCTCCTGCTGGTCAGCTGCGAGCAGCGTCTGTGCCGCCTCACCTCTCACGATGAACTCCTGCCCCTCCACTCTCGTGTCTCCTTTCGACCGCTGCAGCAACGTTATCCAGTGGTGCATCTCCTCCGGCGTGTCCGCATTGCAGTGCAGGACGCGGTTGGCGGTGATGATCACAAACGAGTTTGGCCTGGACGAAGACAACCGAGGGAGAATTGAAGAAGAGCCCCTGGAAACAGCCCTCAGCCCCAGCGATCACCCATTCAGACAAATCTATGGAGCTGGTCAAAGCTGGTCTCACAAAGAGACTGAACAGCCCTTTGTCATTTACTGTGTCTGAACACAGTGAATTCCAGCAGTGAATTCCCTCATACTAGGGGTTTCACAGTTAATGGTTCCCTTACATCCTGTTTCTGGAGGTTGGCTGTGAGCTGTGGGATGGCAGCTGAGTAGGGGATGTGTTTATTTAGTGTTAAAAAAGGAAAAGGGCATTTTAAACATCCCAGCACTTTTGGGATCTGCCCTTTCTATGCTTTCTTAAGTTTAGAAAAGAACGTTCTTCTATAACAATAAGAAATGTTTTTTAGAAATTACTTTTTATTCCTTGGGTTGTGAAGAAACTAAAGGAAATGACTTATGTTAATGCATCAGTGAATATCTGCTTGCTTTGAAATAGTAAGGTTTAGAAATGTGAGAGAAACCTACACTTAGAGCTACTGTAGACAGTGCAAAACATTATAACAAGTAATGAGTTTTGCATTTGAATAGACAGAAAGTTTCTCACTCGATAAGTATCTAGTAAGAAAAATGGTCACTGTTAAAACAATCCTAAGTAATAAACAAAACAAACATGCTTGACTAAAGACAGACAATGGCGACAATTAGATGCTAATCCTTACCTCTCAGGATTGTCAGAAGCACACACTGAATCAATAAGTCCTACATCAAGGGTTCCCTAAACAAAAGCAGCAACAAGTAATTACCACATTAGTGCCTAACATAACATTTCACCACAATTTTGTTACTCAAGAGACTGTGAAGAGTAAAGATAATCCTTCACAGAGCAAAATGCTGCGACAAAGCACTGTCAAAATCTGCCTAGATTTGCACTGGCATAGTAGTGCTCCTTTAACAGTGGTGAAGTGACTCACCGGGAGGAATTTAGAGTATTCTTACAAAACCCAAGTGAGGCCATGAACCAGCAAGAGTGATTCAGCCAGCCGAGAACAATCAACATTGTTTTGCACTTCAGTCCCTTTCTATCTGAAGGATATTGTCTCTTTCAAGCCAACAGCAGACCTACCACTGCATTCTGGGGGTTGGCCTGCTCGTCATGCATTTCCCGGATCTCCTGCTCTGTCGAGCCATGGACCTGACTCAGGACGCTGAACCACTGACTGCAAAGCACAAGAATGGGAGAAGAGGCGACGGTAAGGCCAGAGCACATCTGCGTCATGGGGAGGGGGTGGCGTTCACACCAAGCAGCGATTTGATTGAGTATTCTGGTCACTGCCTTATGTTCTATGTTTACTCTGCACAGATGCAAGCACAGGCTTTTCACAACAGGGGCTCATAAGCAAACATGTCTGCAATGTGACAAAAGCCCCTTTAGATGACTGCAATGAGGGGAGCAGAAGCTCAACGTGGCTTGGAAGCCCATGCACAGTTTGAACAGACCTCTGCACATTCACAGTAATATCCTATGCATGTATCCCATTCCCTTCCTTGAAAAGAGTTATGATTAGAAACAGTTATTCTCCCTAAGTGGTGTGCTAGAATTTGTTCAGCTTCCAAGTGCAGTGAAATGTCACGTTCTCTTTAATATTCTGAGTTTTCCTCTTGTTTTAGTCTGCTGTCGGCATCAACCTCTCACCAGCCAAGGAGTGATATGAATTGCTGTCCAGTGCAATTATCCTTGTTATATCCTAAGAGAAAGCCATTCAGTGTGTCTGATGGCTTTGTACAAACAACATTATGGCCATGCTTTCATCCTGCTTTTGTTCAACTTCAAACACAAATACCTCTCTCATTCACAGAGCTAAGCCCCTGGTGCTATCTGAAACCGGAACACGTTTGTCTAGGTGGAATATCTCTCGAAACAAAATCCATGATGTGAAAATGTATTGTAAAGTTTGCAAAACACAGTCTGGGAAATGACACAGCAAACTGCACTGTGCATATTGTTGCCTCTTAATTATGTTAAATTAGAGTATTTCAAATATTTTAACATTGTTGTTGAAAACAGACTGATACTAAAACCATTAGCACTAGTAAAATGTAGTTAGCTACATTCAGTTTGAAAACCCCCCGCAATCATATAACACTGAACATCAACACAATTTAAAATCTGTGCATAGCTCTAACAACGTCAACTGCATATTAAGCTGCTCTAATGTGTATCTTAGAAATTTTGAATTTAGGAATGTACAGGATGTATTACATGTCTAGATATCACTTTTAAAAAGAGGAAATAATAGTAATACACTCTTATTAAAACATAGGATATAAAAACAATTCAGTTTCAATTCAGTCTTGTGTACTCACAAGACACATATGATCAAATCCATATTATGAGACTGTTTGGTAATAAATACAACCAGTGAAAAATCTGGTTTAATTCCCTGATTGCTGAAATTCGATCAAATGAAAATATTTCATATACCATCTGGGAAACATAGGCTTATAAAGGGCTATAAAGTGAAGCTTCATTCAGCTGAAGAATAATGCAAGCCCAGTTAGAATTATTTATTTCTTATTTGACACTGTCAGCAAAAATGACATCCCATCTTTCCTGTGTGTTTTAATGAACAGGCTCTGTTGTCACTGACAACACAGTGAACGCTCAACCAGACTGAAATCAACTGACAACTGGACAGCATGATTCCCTAATGGTGCGGAGTTCACAGAAAATGGTCGCACGGAAGCAGATGCAGAGTAACATCAATTTAGTTGTGAAAACAACACATCCAAATAGCTACTACCACCAAGAAGATGAATGCTTTGAGATAGGCACTCTGAATTAGACTGGATTGGATATTTTTGAAGAAGAAAACATAGGTTACACATAGGTTACTGGTATGATACATGCTAAAATTAATAGAATTTTCACAGGCAAATAAAACTAAAAAAATAGAAAACACGGAAAAATAACCTCAAAAGATGAGATTTTTACAGTATATTTTCTGAGGATCACTTATTTATATTTTAAAAATAAATACTGTATTTTAAATGGCAACTACATTTTGATTTCTTTCTGACAAAGGTGTTGGGTTTTCCCCGTGTGTCTTGTTTAAGTGGTGCACAGAAGATACTAGAGTAAAACAGTGGTTACTGCATCTTTGATGGTGTACAAATAAAAAGTAACCTGGTGTTAGAACATGGAAACAATAGATAACCACCCATGAGAAAACCATGCTCTATTTCAGTACTAAAAAGCTTAGCTTACTGTACATGCAAGGTTTACACACTTTGATGAAGTACCAACATCCAATGGAGAGCACAGGCACAGAGAGGAGATAAAATCAATAGCCTTATAGCCTTTTCCACAACAAGTTGGCTGAACAATTTCGTTGCAAAGGAAGACTGGAAAACATTAGTAGCAGCACAAAAGTGAAGACTGTCTGATCATGTCTTTATGTGTAACACCAGAACAATTCTACTTGCCTCGCGTCTTCAGCAGATTCAGCAATGAGGTGATAGGTGCGCTCCGGCATAACCACATCTATTCCATTCTCCTTTCCGGTGTTATCAATAATTTCCCTGAATTATAAATAGAAAACAATCTCGGTGGTTGGCTTTTACGATGAATTACAATGTGTAAATGTCTCAGTGAAACACAGTGATTAAACAATTCTGTAGGCCATATGTGTTGCTCTTTCCAAACGGGTGTGATTTCAGTCTAGCTGTGTTTACAAAACAGCACTGACGGTGCACACAAGATTACCAGATCCACACCTCCACGCTCGAGGCTTGTGTCTCTTTGTAAATGTAAACATTTCAAAACTCCATTAAATTCTTTCCAAAACATCAGACTTGAGGTAACACAATGACAGCAATCCTTTCTTCCCTAAAGCGGCATTGAGTTTCATAAAATGAACTGTAGTAATGAGCTTTTAAAGGAAGTTGTGGGTGGTGTGCTGGGGGAAAAGGCTCTAATTTAAAGACCAGAAATGCTGCTCTAGAACCAATCCAATCAATTTTCTGTTTTGTAATGACAGGGGGGCGGGCAAAAGGAGCCGCCGGCGCTGGACTGGAGCCCTTACTTGGCAGAGCGCACGTCGAGCGTGCCCTTGAGCTTCTCCTCGCCGTCGCTGTCGAAGTACATGAGCTTGCTCTGGCGCAGCACGAACCAGCGCCGCTTCCAGTTGCGGCGCGAGAGGGTGGAGGAGCCGCCCCCCTTCTTGTGCAGCCAGCCCTGCTTCAGCGCCTCCTGCTTGGAGCGGAACCACAGGAAGGTCTCGTCCTTCAGCACACACCAGCGCCGCTTCCACGTGTTCATCAGGCCACCTGCGCGGGGGGAGGGGGCGGCGACAACAGGCTCAGTGCGGCGCACGAACCGAAACGAGGTATATCCCTCCCAGCCCGCTAACACGCCGGATAACCCCAACTTAAACATTGGAAACTGCAGGCTAAAAATGAAGAGGAGGATATTTTGTTTTGCTAGGATCACCATATCAATATCACCATATCAGAGGTCATGATTAAAACCACATGCCAAAAGGAGAACGGGGGGGGGATTCCAAGGCCTCTCCTTCTCAGTTACAGGTATAAGCATGACTGCTTTCCTGGTGTCCTTCGGAAAACTGGCCTCCGATGTGGCAACAGTCCGGGAAAAGGTTGAAGCTATTCAAACTAACCTGGTAGTGCAAGGCACCCAAGGCGTTGGTCTTTTTTGTCTGTGGTAGAACGTAATATGCCCAGAAATGGCTGTATATCACTTGTGTTGTATTTCCCCCTCCCCCCCAGTTCATGAGTTTTCAAGCTAAGTGCTATTCCTAACACAACAGCTTGTGACTGGTGGAGCCAGGAAATGTGACTTCTTATTTCTGTTTGCTAAAGCAAAGTAGTGAGACGCTAATTCTTCCCCTCTGTCACTTCCTCTAACTGGGACTGTAGGAGTTCGGGGGGAGAAGTGCCATATGTGCCTGATGAGCTCACCAAAACAATCATGGCCGCCTCGTGTTTGTAACCTTTTTTTACATTCTAATAGTTCAAGAGTCCACTGACAAAAGGATAGACAAGAATATAAAAAAGTACAGAGTACTCCCCGAGGCCATATATTCGAATACAATATTCGTAATGGCAAGGCACTGTCGGCTGAACAATACCATCGCAGAACACCTCTGTCAGTACAAGGTCACATTTACCTACAGGTACAAAGCTGCCCTTTTGCTTGTTTACAGTTTTTATTACAGCTTCTGCATTGCCACCTAGTGGTAAATGTCAGGGGAAGTCATTTAATTCTACTGCGGCAAACCCTTTTTTTTTGTTCCTGGGACTGGGAAGATGAAAGAGAGCAGCTACTTACACAATCCTACCATTGGTTTTATCTCTGTTTTTGTCAGTAACATATACATTTTGAAAAGACATTTGTTATGACCTGTTGTCCACTCTTATACAAACATTAAATAAACCATTTCCACAGACATGGGCCACTTCTTAAGAGCCCCTCAGCCTTAGACACTAACAACACCGTTTCGCTGCAAAATCCACACAGTGCTTGAATTCAGTGCTCCAGGACATAATGTATTTGAAAGAGAAAATGTGTGCCTGCCTAGCAATAAAAAGTGTCTGAAAGCAAATAAACGCAGCACTTAATCCTTAATCTTACAGATCTAATTAGCTTCATGTGAACTAATGGACTAATCATACTCAACATTACTTTGCCAGACATAACAGAGCAGCAATCAACAAACAGAATTGGGGTTCCTGAGTGGTAATTTGTCCTGACTTAACACTAAGAGTGTTTTAAACATTAATGATCTATCTCTATCTGTTTCACATTGTCTGTTTTCTTATTTATCTCAACACAGATATTTCATTTTTGTAATGTGTAGTTCAGCACTTTCAGTTTTAGGTTGCAGGCTGCAAACAAGAGATGAAGAACGACTGCCTTCCTGATTAAGGAGATCCTTGAAACCACGCTCTGTGAGCTTTGAATGCTGTTAAATGTCAGGAGATTCGGTGCATATTGTGCAGCATCCTGTGACAAATGCCATAGGGCAAGTTGTGTTAATAAAATCATTTTGCCATTTTATTCCTGAAATGTACTTTAAATTTGATAACTTTAGAATTTCTGAACTCTAAATTTAGAAATGTATTTCTAAACTTGAAAACACAAAATATTCTGTAATATTACAAGCAACACCAAAGACGAACAAATTCAAGTACGTTTGAATTTGGGGATGTAAGAATTATTGTAACAGCATTTCAGTTGCAAAACTGATAAAACTTTGGTCAAAGGAAGATTAATTTTAATCTGTCAACAGATTATAAGAAGGGTGCACAGGCCTCCTACTTGGTTGATTCAGGACCTAATTTTTTGTCACATTTAATAACTTATCTGTCCAATATTAAGCCTCCAGGTCTTTGAATATACAGTAAGCAGTTACAAAAGTGGGGAAAAAAGATCCCAGATCACACGAAGAAAGGATATAATTTGAATTGTGATTATTACTGTTGCTGTGATTCTGACTTAAATACCCCCCACACACACTGTGAATCTGTCAATAGGCTTCTCTAGGCCACCCAGGGGCTGGGTTTACCTTTGATATAGAGGAAGCTGTGAAAATAGGGCAGGGTGACACAGCTGTAGACAGAGTCTCGCCGGTAAGAGAGCTCATCGTCTGTGTCAAACCTGTCAAAGTCGTCCTCGCTGTCTTCATACTGAGAAAGAGAACACAAACACTACAGTCATCAGCCCTCAGGGAAAAATCGAATCCAGTTACGGTGCTGTCTGTGAACACTACTGATTCGGAGAACTTAATAAAACAAAGTACTAAAATGGAATGAAAATAACCTTGATGGATGGACAGGTTAAATGTCTCTTTGGATCAATTTTGCAAGATTAACAATTAGTACATGTAAACTAATACACATGTTTTTAAACTGTGTGTTGGTCAGCATGTTCATAACAATTAAATGAATTTATTTTTACATTCTTTTACACTTTACACTTGATTTTTTCTTAAATTAAAAGTTATAACATTTGCGGTGCATGACAGGTATATGTTATGTACCCTGTTTAGAAATGTACAAAGTAACAATGACTGTCTTTCTGTATGTGAGGTCTCTTGTCTTCCAATGACCTACAGGAGGAGTTGACAGTGTTCTATTACATTACTACAAAGAAGTTTGATTATGGGTTGTAACTTGCCTTGGATAAAGGCTTTAGTCGAAAGAGTTGCATAGCAATGCCATAGCTCTGCTAACATCATAGAATCTGATGTTAAAGTCAAGCGTTACTCACCGAGGACTGGGCTCCCTCCGAGCTGAAGCGATATGCTCCAGAACTGTTGTAGGTGCCCACAGAGCAGCGGTAATCTGAGGACCACTGCCCGCTGTGGGGGTTGGAAAAAGCCACGCTGCTGCCCGACACAATGGCCCCCTCATCGTAGTCATCCTGATCGTAATCGGAGTCCTCGTTGGGCGGGATGAGCTCCACGGAGTCCTGCGCCATGAGACCCAGGTTCTCGGGCATGCAGTAGGCCGAGTCCCCGCTGTTGGAGCCGCTCTGGCAGCCCGGGGCCGCGGGCAGCGCCAGGGCGTCGGCGGCGCCGGAGATGGTGGGGACCACCGTGTCGTTCATGTAAGGGTCCTCCTCGGAGGAGTCGTCGCTGGTCCGGATGCCACTGGTGCGCACGTCGGAGTGGCCGTGCTCGCTGGGGTTGGGCGAGTCCTTGAAGGCGTCGTCGTCGGCTCCGAAGCCTTCGTCCACTTCCTCCTCCCCCTCCCCCTCCTCCTCCTCCCTGGGGTAGGGCTGGCTGAAGTTGAAGCTGGGCTTCCCGCTCACGCCGCCCCCTCCCCCGCCCGCCGAGAGGGAGCTCTCTATGTCGCGCACGCACTCGTCGATCTCGTCGAAGTTCAGGGACGCCAGGAACTCCTGGGCCGCCCGGCAGGCCTCGTCCTCCAGCCGCCGCAGCTCCTCGTCCCGCAGGAGCTGCAGCCGCAGGAGGGAGGCCTGGGTCAGGGACAGCTCCTGCTGCTCCTTCTTCCGCTGCAGCTCCTGGATCTCCCTCTCCAGCCGGAGGATCTCCTCCACCTGCGTGCTGTCCGGGCACCTTTGTTCCCTCACCCCGGCCCCCTTGGCTCTTGCCCGCTCCTCCTCCTCCTCCTCCTCCGCGCGACGTGATGCCTCGGCCTGCGAGCGGGAACGCACCGCCGTTATCCGACCCGGCACGGCTCCCGACACGGTAGACGCACAGGAAGGCGCGCGGCGGAAAACGGTAACGAGTTAACGAAAGTAGATAACTGATCATTTTCAGATGATTTTGTGAGAAAAGGGAGCAAGGTGCCGTTAACCATAGCAATGTTTTACCACAAAATGGAGATGACGTGAAAGATCGAGCAAAAAGATTAAAGTGCGACACTTAATATGTGTTATAATTTTTCTTGCAATGACTAAGAAAATCAAATTCACTGCAAACAGCATATACATTTATTGAATCAGAGAATCCAGAAAGTGTTTGCTCAACTGCTGCAAATTAAATGATAGGAACAGAAAGACTAAAAGTCGATAACACGGTCCCTGCTTTCTGCTGCGGCCAGTGCAATTTCTTCAAACCACTTTCTGTACTGTCTCAGTAACTAATTTAAGTAGCCCTCCATGACTAATTATCATTAAATGTCACTAAACTTCACAAACGCTTCTCCAAAGGCCACAATGAGTAAACTGCAGAAAAAGAAATGCGAGCATGTTGCATGTTTCACTGGCTGATTCGTAACTCATACGGGTAAAAAAAAACTAACCGTCAAATTCTGCACCTGCAATCATTTTAAGATACTGGAAGAAGAGATTCATTTTCCAGAAATGAAACACTATTTCCATCAGATTCACTTAGAATGTATTGCACAATCCATACTGTTTTTCACAGGTGGCACTGCCTAAATCTTAAGACTCCACTGGGCAAGTTTTTTTTTAAAAGAACACTTTGTAAACTCAAATATTACAAGACAAGCCTGTCTGAAAATGATTTGTGATTTTCTCATCTCTCTTCTGATGTCCTTTACAAAAAGAATTAAAATATGAACAGTACTCGATGCAAGTCATGATATTTAATTCTTCTAGGGGGGTGTAAATTTTGTATGATAAAGTGTATTTTAAAGAATACTTTAAAACTCTCCTATTGTATTTTCATAGGAAACTTTACCAAACTCCATAAACACTAAGAAGAATGTCAAGCCATTTAATTGCTTTTGTCATCGTGAAAGACAATTCTTTGTGAAAGAAATTATTGCACTGCTCATAAATAACATATTCTGGAAGTCTGCTTAACATTTAAGGCCATTGTATGAATCTGTCAAATCTCTGCAATATGAGTAAATAAATGACAGAGCTCAATTATGTCACATTCTTCACCTCGTGAAGTCTAAATGATCAGAAACCAGGGAGTAATAGTGAAAACATTTTTTTCCCATGTGCAAATGCATTTAAAACTGAGACAAGGAGGCTCATCTTTACTCAAAAGGTTGTGAGAGTACGCAACAGCCATGTTAACGAAGACCCTGGTTTCCTTGGTGAAATGGCTGGACGACACCCTTAGCTCAAATAACTACTACTGTTCGGTACTGTGTTCCAAACGGGCTAGAATGGCCAAATTGCTTCCTCTTGTTTGGAACCTTTCTTATGTTGTTATGACACTCACCTCCTGTGCAAGACGTTCAGCTTCCAGCCTTTGTCTCTCCCTAAAAGACAATAAGGCACAGCAATTTGTACTACAAGTGACATGTCAGAGCACCAAGGTATAAAAGATTAAAACTGATCAATTCGGTGGAATGCCAAGCCAAGGATCATTTAGATTTCTCAGGAGCAGGTGTTATATAAAGCTTCTGTTCCCAAAAGATTCCCAGGACTTGAATATTCCTTAACAGGCTAAAGGCTGTTATCTCACACAGTCTTTCCTGTGCTGTGATCTCAAGAAACAAACATTTAACATCAAGAACAGAAACAGGAAAAGGACATGTGCCACGCCTTTACACAATACACAAAGAACAAAAAACAGCAGCAATGGCTTTAAATGTAATTTCAAATACCTTCAAATTGCAATTGGTTAAAGAGACTCAAAAAGCATGACACTGTCACCTGGACTGCCAAAAACATTTTGGGTGTTTTTAGATATCTTCTTGTCCACTTCAGTATTTTCTTTCAGAAAACAGAACAATCATAAAGAACCAGAACATGATCATATATTATGACCAAATCTTTCATTGCTGAGATGCACTTGGCAGCATTCCCTACTGCATATTATTTTGATGTTTGCTTCAGATGATGAAATGCAGAAGCAAATAAACCCTTCTCATACCTATACTCAAGATAAATATGCAAAACTCCTCCTTCAAATAATCTACTAGCCAAAAATGTCACCTGCTAGAGAGTAGGAATGAAATTAAAGGGATAAAGCAGAGGTGTCATAGTATCAAAGCAGTTATTTATGAAAGGCAGAGAATGTTTAACAAATTATTATTTTTTCACTTAATGCCTAAAGGATCACAGTCCTGGTGCTTTGGAAGTTATACAGCAGAACACACCAAAAGCAGCATCTTCATAAAGTTTAAACTTTAATTTTCTGACTTGCTACAATGTGAGAATTGTTTCAGGTTGATATTCCAGACATGCAGAGACACGTCGAGGTTATGTGGCAAGTATGCCAAGTTGTTTTTTGTCTGGCAATCGTTTCTACAGGTGTATCTGACAGTAGGAATGCGAGAAAAAAAAACTTGACAGTACAGTAACAGATCCTGTGTTGCAAACCAAGACAATTCCAACAGAAAACGGGGCAGGAGTTAACTCCTAGCTTCCTCCAAGGAATGGCTGGATGAGACTTCAAATCACTTAAACACTACCTGCAAGCAAACTAGCTAGAAGGGACGAATCGCCTCTTCTGGTCTGTAACCTTTCGTAATGTGCTTGTGCTCTAGCTATGCCTATTGCAATCTTCAGGTGTCTGTGTTGACATCTGTAAACAGATTAGCAGTATTGCAGCTTTCATGCTACAAAGAAGTCCAGTTTTCATGCTGGCGAATAAAAGCATGTTTAGATGTTTGTCAGTGATACCTCTCTTCTTCTTCCTCTCTCTGTCGCCTCTCCTCCTCCTCCCTTTTTCTCCTTTCCTCCAGCAGCCGATAGTAGGTCTTCCTGGCCAGGTGTCCCCTCGCTCGTGTCTGGAGGGTCAGCGCGGCCCAGCGGAGATGAAGGAACCTTCTCCTCCAGTAGAACGCACGGTAGTTTTTCTGGATGACCACAATGCACTGCAGCAGTCTCTGATACTGCTTCCTAAGGAACACGCAGAACAATTGTAAGGAAGTATTAAGCCTACCATACCTCATACCGATTAGTTAGATACAACAGTCAATGCCCACATGTGATTTGAAGATTTAAAAGGTAAACATATATTTCCTGTGGAGATGTACAATGTGTAAAGCCCCTATAGCCACTGTTATGGAAATATAAAAAATAATACATTAATTGTCATTGTCATTGTCATTGTCATAAAAAGAATTCTCCTTATGTATAAGACTCAAGGAGTGGAGAAAATTAACCCATATTAGTTCTCAGAGAAAAAATAGACACAGACCTCTGCAAATCCAATGATCTCATAGAAATAATATCACATCTTGATGAAATAGAAGTCATGGAAGTGCATACTGTACACTTCTTTCAAATGAACTGTGGCTGTTCTTTGGAAGGGTATTCAGATCAGGGTAGTCTCTGGGTGGTATGATGGATATTTCTCTTCTTAATGATGGGCTTTACTGTTCTCAAAGGGAAAAGTAACCTTCTCCTGATCTCCCTTGGTCTTCATGGTCAATTTGTCTTATCAGTACATGGGTGGTGGCTTGAAATTCAGTGTCTCTCTGAGGGAGCTGACAGAGACAGACGCGCTGCCTCTGACGTCCGTTTAAAACACTTTGATTACATGCAAGCAGATTACACTCATTTTGTGACCTTTCCAACTATTCTTTTGCACCTGAACTGATCTGCATTACTGTACCAGGGGGGCTGAATACCCCAGCAATTGAGAATGTTCTTCTTTTAAAATCAGGTTTATTTATGTACTTTTATTTTAAGCCTCATCAGTTTGGTGTAAATTGTGAAGCTTTTTAAATATAACTTCCTACTTGAAAGTGTCATGACTGCAAGTTCACATGGCAAAAAAGTGGAAACACAGCAGAAGAGTGAATAATTTCGAAGGGCACTGTACATTTGCTGTGGTGACAGGAGTGAAAAAAACACATTTGACACTTTTTTATAGAAATAAAGCTAATACAAAAAAATGGTATAGAGTTCGGTACAACCAACCAAATGTAAAAATGGGCAGCCCATTTTATGAGACAGTTTACATTTATTTTTAAGAGTTATACCTTATTATGTTTTAATACACACTATTTTATTGATTTTTGGAGACGACTTACAACATTTCAGTTTGGGGCTTATTACCTAATATGTATGAGCCACACGTGGCCTGTAGCCTACTGGTTGAAAAATTGTGAGCAAGGGAAAAGAGTTTATAAAATAAGACTGGAAGGTTATTATAAGGCCTGGCCAGGTCTTGTCTAGAGCTGGAGCACGGCAGGCCCAGTTTAGGGGTGGCTATAACTCTTTACCATTAGCACATCATCGTGAAGCCTACACAAGAGGCATCTTAGATGAGGGTTCCCCAGCCCTAGCCCCGGACAACCGTTGTGTCCGCGGGTTTTCATCCCATTTCAGCTGTTAATGAGCTAAATGAGGTAGTTACAGGCGTTACTGGATCAATTTGCCAGCTTGTGTTGGCTCCTGAGGTCCTGCTGCTTTAAAGAGGCAGAGAAAACCTGCAGCTACACCGATCCTCCAGGACCAGAGCCGGAGTGAAATGTCACACGAACGCTCCAAGATTCAAGTGAAACTAAATAAAAGGGTGGGGATTTAGTTACAGCTAGTACTAGGGTTAAGTACTAGCAACTACTGTACCTATATATACAAGGTCTATACCTGCACAGAGCATTTACAGTTTGATACTGTGTTTTAGTGTGGCTTTAAAGTTGTACTTAACCTACACACATACAAACCCTGAAATATAAGGCAGAAAAAACTTCATGTCTAGTGACACACTTACTTTCAACGGGACTGAAAGTAAGAATCTTGTGAAAATCTATAATATTTGGGTCTTTTTGCAACCTCATATTAGTTTCTGTAATTTTTGTATCTTATATCATACTAAGAAGGTGTATTAATACTGTATATATCCTTATAATAGCTCGTCATTCTCAATGCAGGCTGGCACTGTTTGCTTGATTTGTCTCATGCTTTTGGAGACGTCTGCTTATTAAACACAAGATGTTCCTGGGGCTCCTGCGCTAACCAAAGAGACAGAATTATGTAAATTGCTGCACTCTCAAATCATTCTTTGAAAGACTGAAACAAACAGAATGAATTCACCGAATAAATAATGCATGGCACCATCTCCACAAATCAAATCACTATTGTATTTCTGTCTCCTGGTTTTTGCTTGTTTTGTTATTGCATTCACTCCCTTCCTGTGCTTTCTTCGTCCTCACAATGTGTCCTCTAGTCACAAATCACATAAACTGTGCTTCATTAAACCTGCATCATGCCATAATAGCAATCTTGATTAGATTACTGCATGTGCTGGTTACATAAAGAGCTTGTTTCTAAGAGAATCAGACAGCTGTCAGCAGGTCGGCAATACAATTTCAATTTACAGCACTGGTACAGATCAAGAAATGGTAATGGAGATTCTTAGGTGGATCTTTTGTTTCTTCTATTTACTGAATATATTTACATATTTATTTTCCTTGTTCACTTTTGACCTGTGCTACTTTCAAAACTTATTAAAGACAATATTAGCAAATCATGTACATGTATTATTTTATACAGCTACACACTACAATGTGTAACAATGTTCTTTTAACCAAAGGATAAGCACTTTAAAAAAGTACATATGGCACTGTAACCTACAGACTTTCGCTCTTATCGGTTTGATGTTATCATCAGAAACTTGGAATCAACAGACTGAAGCCTCAGACAGGAAATGACTATCAAACAATACCATCAACAGTGGGATAAAACTGTTGACTGGGCAATAAAAAAGACAACTAACATCATCAAGATGATGGCTCTGTGGCTGGAAGATTGCCGGTTCGGATCCCGCAGTCGCCTGAGGAATCCTACTCATTTGGGCCCCTGAGCAAGGCCCTTAACTCCAACTGCTCCAGGGGCACTATATAAAAGGCTGACCCTGTGCTCTGACCCCAAGCTTCTCTCCCTGTCTGTGTGTCTAACAGAGAGCAAGCTGGGGTATGCAAAAAGACAAATTCCTAATACAAAATATTGTATATGGGCAGTGATCTTATCTTATCAACATCTAACAAAAAAAAGGAATGTTTCTCACCTCCCTATGCTTTGAGCTACATCCAGCTAATAAACAGTGATTTTTGACTCCTTTGGCTCCAATTGCTTTAGTTAAAAACAAACATCATAAATGTATTTTTGTTGGTTTGCTTCACTTTATTCACCAGTCAATGTATATATTTATGATTTTGTTGGAAAATAATCATAAAAAAAAAAGGAATAAATCTTCCTTTTAGTCAGTGTAAAGGCTGCAAACACCACTGCGAACACAGCGTTTGGCCACTCAAGCCTTCTCTCTGTGCCTCTCAAGTTCATTTCGCCCTCAGCTTTCCTCTAACATGAGCCTCCATTTTCATTGTGAAAATTCGACTGTGCTTCACCGGAGGCAGGGCTGCCTGAACCGGGTGCTAAGCCCTGGTGCACCCCATCTTCTCGTACCGTGCCACGTAGCCTACGATGTGTGCCTGGATGATCATGGCTGCCTTGTACACCTCCACCTCCCGCTGCTTTTCCAGCTTGTTCTCGAGTGACTCCCGGAGGAACACCTGCAGACAACAGATTAATAAGGAATAAGGATCCGTGCTGTAATCTGTATGGCTCTTTTAGCGAGGCTATCCAGACGAGACAAGCCAGTTTCTCGAGGTGCCACTCTTCAGAGGAACTGAAAATTGCTTTCGAACGCATGAGACAAAAATAAAAAAATTAATGGGATATAAAGAACACGCACTCTCCTTGATTTTTAGAATTAGTGCTTTAGAGCATAAAAATGTAGCGATATATTTATAGTTTCATTACATTGGGTTTCAGAATTTAAGTTTTGAATACTCCAAATCAATCCAGTTAATCTAAGTCTGAACACAAACATTAGGTATTCAATACTAAAAATCTGAAATCTGATTTATTGTACTTAAGGACTGTAGCAAGATAGACACAAAATATATTATAGAGTTATCAGACCATATCTGACATTTAGTTTTATTTAAACAAAACAAAGGTAGGGAATGTACATACAAAAAATGCTCAGGAAGAAGTACAGGTTTATTCCATGGTGAAAACAGATGTCACACACCCAAAGAAGGCTCCACAGCTGAAACATTGTGTTTCCTTTCTTCTCTTTTCAGCATGGAATAAACCTTTACTTGTTCCTTCACAGCCTATGCATGCTGACACAGCTACCCACCCGAACTACAAAACATCCTCATGCTTTATGCACATTTTCTACTACCTACAAACAAATCTATACCTACTAACAAGTCAACAAATCAGTAATCAATATATTGATTTACAACTCTTTTCCAAAAACCTCCAAATCTCTTCAGGTCATCACAGTGTTGTAAAATCAAAGGTTCTTCCTTCTGCTCAGGTAACAAGTTAAAAAATGGTTGAGGACTAATTTGATTTAACATACAGACTTATGGATTTTGATTTCCTTTTAACATATTATCGCACCCTTACGGCTGCATAGCAATGCTGTTGTATTTGCAACCCTGATGTACCAGACACATAGCAGGTGGCCATTGATAGCAAACCCTCTTTTGCAGATGCAAGGGTTAAGCAGATTTTCTGTTGTACATGACCAGACACAGGATTAATTTTCTGGTGTGGTGTAAGTGATAAATGACACAGCCTAAGGGATGTGATAAAACCAAAATTACTTTTTGGTGTATCTAGTCTAGGAAACCTGATAATTAATTAGTATGAAAATGTCATGGATATCTCTAGTTGCTGCAGATTTGACTTTTTTGACTTAACATCTTCACAGAAAACCTGTAACTCAAGAAGTACTTATCTTCCCACAAAAATTAATCATACCATATAAGCCACACTCTATTGTGAATATTTAAAATAGGAAAATTATATGTTTATGCACGTACACTTTAAAGAACCCTTGTGGGTTCTGAAAACTGAGCCATACATGGAAAAAATCAAAGATTTCAAAGTTCAATTGCTATATTGATCATTTCAGTTTTCCCACTGTACCGAATAAATAAAATCAAAGTTTTATAAAAGCTTGAACTTCTATGAAAGCTTGAAAATAGTTTTCCCAGAGGGCTTAGTTCTGAATTACATGAATTTGTATTAATGCAAAGATGGGCATGCTTGAAAATCGACCTTTTAATTTCCACGAAATCACATCTATCTTATAATATGTGCAGACAATGGTTACCGCTTCTTTTCCAGAAGAGTTAATTTGTGAAAATGTACCCATTAATCTTGTTTTTTCAGGACTTCTTTTAAAGCCCCTTTCCCTCCAGTGATCTGAATGGAGTGCAATTGATTTAAACAGTATGGCCCTTGTTTGGCAAACCCCTACTGCTGAGTCACATGGCCATGCTGTGTTGACACACTGACATCTGTCACTTTCAATTAGAGTTTACTGGGACGTAACTTTTTTTTTCTTTTCGTTACCTCCAATAATTTCTGTTAAAGCAACATAATGCCCTGCAGGGCTCACAAACTGTTCATCTCCACCACCATGTCTTAATGAAAGCTACAGATGCAATTATCTTGAACTAACATTATTCAAAACAAAACAGATTTCAGACACTGCCTCAGGTAGTACAGGCGTGATAAATAACACCAGCTAATCTCGTTTGCCACACTTCACAAATGGATGCATGCATTAATTTAACGAATTAAACGATTATCGTGATATCTAAAATTGTAGATGATGGATAAGCATAAACAGCAACTAACCTTAAGAAGATTTTCCTTCTGTAGACATATTTCACTGTAAAGGCTCATCTATTTAAAAAAGGGACTTTCTCCAACATAAACATCACAAAAATAGGTATTTCGTAATGTTTATATATTCCAATTTAGATGAATAGCTTAAAGGTTCCTCAAGCACTTACCTTAAAAGCATACAGTAACACTGTAATACCAAAGGCAGGTGTGTAATTTGTTCAGTAGTCTTATCAGGGAGATTATAAAGATCAATAAATATTTAGTACTGGGAACAGAAAAGCCACCAAGATGCAAATCCAAGAGCCACTTGTCCACTTATTGACAGATTTTTCTCGCTCATTGAGGATGATGCGCAGGTACAGTAACTGTGGTAAACTCAATATGGTCATCCATATTCAAACAAAACGGCAGTAAAAAAAAAAAAGAAAAAACTAATCTAGATATAGATTAAACATAAAGCAAGAGGACTTTTCTCTTTAATGGATGATGTTGCTTGCTCTCCTTTTGATTGATTGTGAGATACACTTCTTACTCATTGACACGGTGATACCATTATTTCAGGAGAAAGGACATATGTTAAACTAGCATCTCCAAAAGATCAACCAAGCCACAGATCTGAATCCAGCCATTTGCTAGTGCTGCGCTTAAAACCCAGTATGAATGTGTCAACTCACAGTAAAAGCTCTGGGCAAAGAACCACTGTTGTTCAGCAGGGACCATTTGTTGGACTGTAACATTGCATTACCATACATTCACACACAAAATCTTACAAACAGGAAATGGGTACATGCTATAAAAGAAATATCAATTCAGGCTCAGGATCACATGCCCCAAGTTCAAAATGGAGGGATTTCTGTGCTGTAAAAGTATTTTCCCCCCTTACCTTTGTTTTCCCAAGCTGCCACTCAGTCTTCGTGCTGTCATAAAGATGGAGGAGACAAGCACACTTCCCCTTCATGTCTTCGGGAAGAGTCACGTCCTTCATCAGTACTTTGTACCTATATTTAAGGACAGATTTAGGCTTACAGGTCTGCTCTCCAGATTCAATTATCCTTTCACCCCATAGACTAAAACACCCTACATATATCTAATCATCTCTTAAATAACTGATGGAACTCATCTGAATTAAGAACGTTTTCAACTTCTGATTTTTGAGGCTATGGAAAAAAAAGAAAAATGAAATCCAGTGCAACTACCAACTACATATATATATTATTATATAAAATTATAAATACACTTTGAAGATTTTTACCGAGTAAAACATGTTCCACGTTTTACAGAAGAAACACTGACTCATTATGGGGAAAAATGCTTCCAGATGTGGTCAGCAATAATTCTCAGCTTCAATACAAAAAATTCTAAAAAAGCTGTACAACAAACTGATTTGCTTGTTGACTAAATTTAGAGAAGGATCTTGGATTACACTCAAACAAAGATAAATGCTCCAAAGCTAATGTAAGGGCATTGGATGATTCTATTTTACTATTATTTCCATTAATTGTATTTAAATTTCCCCTCAGGGGTCTCCTTGAGAGCTTATTGAGTTTAAGGGTCTTACATTAAACAGAAGAACATATTTGAGTTTGTTTGCAGAAGTTACCCATACATTTCATATACAAGGAGTGTTCTATTCCACCAGTTTTCCTCCCAAAGTCCAAAGGCATACTGGCAGGCTAACTGGCCCCTTGGAAAAGTGGCCCTGGTGCGAGTCTGTGCGTGTCTGTGCCCTGCCGATGGACTGATGACCCGTTCAGGGTGAACCCTGCCTTGTGCCGGCAGAATTGGACGAAGCTGTTAGAAAATGGATGGATGTATCAGTCACCTGAAGTAGAAGTCCTGAAAGGGTCTCCTGACAGGGAACCCCGCTCGCCGAATCCTCACGGTCTCCAGCATTCCAGAATATCGCAGCTGGTTGAGGACCACCGGCTGGTCGAACCGCTCAGGCATCTACAGGGAGAAGTCAACACAACGTCAGGTACCGGAGACATGAATCTGAAGTTGATCGCCAGAGCCACGGGCAAACACCTGTCTCAGATTTCAGCACACAGAGCTCCCGCTTCGCCACCAGGCCATTCAAAAGGCCACGGCCACAAACACATTCACCCCACTAGAGAATACTTACAGCAGCACAGCTTGCTCAAGACCACAAAGCCAAACACCCCTATTAAAACGTATAAATAAAATACCTCAGTCAAATCCCCCACATTCATCAAATACTACCATTACTCTGGCAGTGGCAACCCGGACTTCAGATATGTCAAATGTTTCCGTCTTATCAGGATTCTTTTACTCGCTGTACAAAAGACATGTACTGTAGCAGTCCTTGAAAATGAAAATAACCAAACAAGAGAAGAACAGAGGCATTAGGATCTCTTCGCCTCTTTGTAGCAGCACAATGACATTTCCAAAAGGAACCATTCTTCCTCTGCCTGCCATACTGGGGGCCTCTAACCCCAGTGGGCGATGCACATAAAATCACAACCCATTTTTTTGTTAATTTCTTCCATTAAAGGTCAGTGCTGTCAATAACGCTTCCACATGTTGCCCTCAAGAAATTAACTTAGCACGCTCCATATATTGTAAAGGGTCTGAGCATCAGAGAGGGAAAAAAAGGGGGTCAGATATGAAATTTGCATAATTGTAATTTACATAATGACTTGATGATTCCCTCCACAAAGCGGTGTCAGGGAGCAGCTTTCTGAAAAGGTTGTAAATGCTCCATTTCTTTTATTCATATTTTGACTCCACTGTTATATGATCGTTCAGGCAAACAAAGAGGGTTTGACATTTGAATTGGGATAAGAAGGGACCTTTGTCTGGAGAAAGAAGTCATTCCCAGGAGAAAATCAACTCCTGCTGTCAGTCACTGTCATCACTTTGAGACCTTCAAAGCTGGAGTGAAGAGTCAGTTACAGCTCTCGCGAAAAGAATAAGTGCATTTTCCTTTCATGTAGAAATGGTTTTGTTCATTTGGGTGACAATAAGAACATGGATGAAATTATTATCACTTCAGCACTCTCGCTACAAATATGGCATACTGTAACACTGTTATTAACAGCAGCCTCATCCTTATAGAAACCATATACAGCTTTCTCAAAAATACAGATGAAGTGTCTGCTTTTGCTCAGGAGATCAAAGAGGTGTTAGTTTCAATGTCTTAGACAAACCAGCAAGATCTAAATATCGAAATAATTTAAAAGGATTGAAATATGGATTATCACAATAACTTTTTTAGAAAAAGTTTGTAAATAGCTGAAACTAATTTATCTGTCTTAAGAAGTGAAAGTTGTAGTTTTCATGAATATTATTGCTGTTGTGAGACAAAAATGTTTCCAAATGAGTACTGCAGAGTAGGATCTTAAGGAACCTTCTTAAAACACATAAGTACACATGCATACTTGAATAATGAAGAACATGTTTGGAAAGACCTCTGCTCATAAGGTGCTCTGAAGAGGCAGAATAAAAGTCTGAAATCCAATTGAACACTCATATTAAATCATAAAAAACCCCATAATTATTTTCTTTTGAACTTAATATATTGTTAACCGTCTTAAAATAAAAGCATAAAACAATTCTATAAACAACCATATACAGTATATTTCTATTTAGAGGACAATGGCCAAATCTCTAGTGTATAATATCCCAAATCAAATTATTGCAAAACAATAAAACATACATTGGCCACAGATGACAGAAGAACAACTTCCAGGGCAATCGTAAATATGTGAGTTTGAGTTCTTATAATAACTAGATTAAAGTCCTAATGATAAATAATACCTTTAGAATGTTGTAGGAGAGGACCCTTTAAAACTTTTTATAGTACAAGGAATATTAAAGCTACAGGAAACATAGTAAAGGAAAACTGAGAAGAGGCGGCCAAATCAACTGAAACATGCTCGTCGGTATGACACTCTACACCTAAATTTGCCCTGCTCCATATGGAAAAAAACTGCTCAACATTTTTCAGACAGTTAAAATGTTCACCAGATATTCTTACCGGCCTGCGGGTTGAGTATTTCATCCCTCTTGCTAATGTTCCATTCGCAATCCATAAGGGAGAGAACTACAGGGCTAACTCACTGCGGCCAGTGAAAGACGCACTAACTGAACAATACAGAGTGCTAGCCAGTTTTATGAGTGACCCAGTTGCCATGGTAGCGCATCCCATGCTGAGGCTAATTTGTGTAGGGCACTTGTAGGCCCCGCAGGGTAGAGGGAAGGAGGCAATAGGCCGGTACTGTCTGGCCTCAGACTGCCTATCCAATGCGAGTTCATGCATGGAAATTTGCCAGCTGTTTTGTTTTTTCCACATCAACTTAGTAGGGAGGCAGTAGAAGGCCAGTCAACCGAATTCATCCCTTGGGAGTGGCAGCAAAGTTTTTTTTAGCTTAATGATACAGTACCAGAATTAGGATGTGTGTTAAGAAACAGACAAAAAAAAAAACTTAATTTTTTTTTTTTCACTTCCCTGTTAAATGTATAACTTGGAAACAGTGTTTACTGTATGTTAAGCAACACTGAATTTCTGCAGTACTAAATAAAAGAGAACTTACAGAATGCAATTTAGCCTGACAAAGTCTCTATTTTGAAGTAAACAAAAGCCAACAAATTTTCTGAAGTTCTCTTCAGAGTGCAGTTACACCATTATTTGTGAAGCTGTTATTTGTGAAAAAAAAAGTTTTTCTCCTCAGCTGGGAAAACATTCTGTATCTTTCCTGCAGCTCTTTAAAATTTATCACTTTTTAAGATCAGTACAGATATTAATCATATATGCAACAGATACTTCTGTATGATCTCTCTGGAAGCTATCATCATTTAGTTGACTCTAATAAAATTGACATTACCTTCAAGGTTACAATTAAGGTGAAGCAGTGGGGAAAAAAATAATTCTACAAATTACTGAGGCAGGGCGCCTCAAACAAGTAGACACAAGACATTATGAAGAAGGTTTCTTTATTGAAATAGTAAACCTGCCTTACTGAACTGGGTGTGTTTATTTAAAACCAAATTGCAATGAGGTGACTTAAGTTCAATATCCTATTATAACAGGTATATTTCTGTTCCACAGCCTAAAACTGGTTTATAGATGATATGCAGAAACAAGTAGAGTTTAATTCCTTGCTGAAAACTGAAAAGAAAAAAACAATTTGTCAGTTGTGGAGTATTTTTCAGGTGTGTGAGAAATGCTAAAAAAATTAATGCTAATTTTTCTTTCTTTTACTTTTCAATGTGGATTCCACCTCAGCTTTCCTGCAGATGCAGCTTCCCACACAAAACATATTAATACTGTGTATACAATATGTATATTGACCATCTGTTTTTATAAGTTCCCAGTTGCCAGTACAATGGTGCAGTGGAAGGATATGATACTTAATAATAATTTAGTAGTCTGACATAATTTTTTTAATACTGTTTTTCAGTACTGCAGATTTTATTTTTTTCACATGCACCTATGATATTCATCCTCCAACTCTATAGCACTAGGCTTCTTTACCCTCAAAATGCATTGTTGATAGGTCTGCATAGGCTAATCTGAAAGAATAGCTGACTATTATATTATATATTATATTATATCTTTTAACATGCATATTCAGAAAATACTGGATAACCAACGCAACCAGGAAATGTATTATTATGGATGAGAAACTAACGCATTCAAAACAATCTTTTAAACCATTATTGCTCAATCTCACAATTCATATTTTAATTTACAAGCCTCATCTGTACTGGGTATTTCATGGTGCTTGGTGCTATCTTCAAGCTATTTCTCACACAGATTTATTTGATCAAGGTGGAAGTCTTTAAGGTCTACTCAGCTAAACATTTCTCGCTACAATATATTTTATACCGGAAATACGCTTTAATCCTGAGACTTTTGCTAAAAAAACAATCATTAGTTTAACTTCTACTGTATACTAAACTATAACAAAGGCTTAAATTTATTACCAACTCTGGCCCACTTAAATAAAATCTTCGTGTTTTTGTATGGTCTCTACCTAATGGAAACCTGCCATTACATTCTGCATATTTAGTTTGTAGTTGGGTTTAAGTTTTCATTTAAACCCATGTCTGCCAATGATCTGGGAAGCCTCCCAGTATTCAACACTATTTCAGAGATCTACTCTGACCGCAGTGAATGTGCCCTTTTTTCAAGGCAAATGAAGATAGTTGAAGAAAAGGGACAAAGGAAACACCACTGAAGCAATAAAAGAGAACGCTGCTGTGAGAGCTGCTGAAATGAAGTATTTTAATATGCACTTCATGACGAAAGGGTGGGCAGTGATGATGAATACAATAACAGATGGGGATTGAATCGCGCTGGAAATATCAATATATTGATTCAATAAAGGCTGTGATTTCCCTGAGGCAATGGACCAGTTGTTAGGTGCAGCCTTTGCACAAGTCCATTCACTCCATGCTGCAAGGACTATTTCAGGAAGGATAAAGAAAAATACTCTCAGAAATCTCACTAATGCCAAGTAGCAATTTAAGTTAAAAGGGTAGACCTGCACAGTGTGCAGTGGTATTTTCCATTTGTTAAGGATTTGTGAGATGATTTAGAATTCAGAAAAGCCTGGCAAATGAAGGCACTTTACTGTGTTTTTTTTTGTCATTTCTGAAGCAAACCGCTGACTCCCCAGCATCGAGACCTCTGCTCACCGGCAGAGAATGAGGCAAAGGGTGGCTATCAAGAATCTTTTTTGAGGATCCTCTGAAAACTCTCCACCTGGGAGTGATACAGCTTGCTCAGGGTTTGCACCTCTCGCCCATCCACTGAGAGCCCCACATCCCCTCCCAGCCCCTCAGTCATGAATCAATCAGGTTGCCAGGCGGTGCTGAGACCTTCCATGAAAATGGTGTTAAACAGTAATTTTGGGGCCAGCTGTCCTCCCCACAGGCTCCTTGCCTGCCTCTTAGCCTTTACTGTGGATCGGGGTCACTATTGT